GCGATCACGATTACGGTGATGATAACGAAAATATAGCAGTACAGTAATGATACGTTGTGCTTTTATTATTCTCCTGCTGCTGTCGCTGACTTTACTTTTAGTGCTTTACTTGTCTTCGTTTGCAATTCTCTGCTTCTACTCACCGCTACAGTTGTAGTAGTGCGAGCCTATTGTTCGTTTTCTTCTTGAACTGTTAGTGAATCTAGATCGAAAGAATACTACTACTCTATGAACCACCAAGTTATAGCAGTGGCTGATAAAGGTTATTTTCGCCTGATTTTAATATGTATTATAATTTGAAAATAACCCACCAGACTTCTTCTCAAATCCAAAAAAATATCACCAAAATTTAAGAAAAAATTTTTTCCGCTATCCATTATTCATTTATTTTCTCAAAACATTAAATGTAAGTCAGTGGTGACTGTTTTTTGCTTGGTTCTCGAGAAAATCTTTGTTTCTTTTCCTCAATTATTTATGAAAAAAGTTTTAGCACTGTCTGTGATGTTTACGGCCATTCGCAATTCTTTTTTAAATTATTAGTATGCAGATCTGAATTAGAAAGACGAAACTTTTCACTCAATAAGTGATCTGATTTAAATATTCTATCTGAGAACACAAACTAAGTTTATTGTAACTTTAGAGTTGTTTTATAGTATCCTTGCTGGTTCATTTTTATAGCCATATGATGTCATTTGAATTCTATCTTATCTAGTAATTGTAAATCAGATATTTTTGATAGTTAGCTCGAAGTAGTTTGCAAAATGTTACTCGACTACTACTACTACTACTAATAATAATAATAATAATAATAATAATAACAATAACCTTAGTAATAAACTATGCTTGTTATTATTACCGTTATCAATAATTTTCACTTATTAAAATGTATATTTCATTTGAAGAAGTTTGATAAATTTTCTAATAATTGGATAATTTCATCTTTTTTATTCCATTAAATACCACTTGTTTTTGAAATAACAAAAATCAAAATCAGTTATGGGATCGAGCAACAAATATTAGACATTGACTATCTAGCAGGATTTAACAATTTTTCATTCATGATCAAATGAGTTGTTCAATTTTTTCAAAGATCGTATTTTATTTGCAAAAAATTACTCATTTTGAAGTCGTTTGTGAAAAAAAGTATTGCAGTGTTTAAATTTACTGAGCAGCAAACAATCTTATTTTTGCGAAAGATTAGTTTTGTTTTTATTCTTCATATATAGATCTTTTATTATGCGGGATTTCTTGAAAGAATGGTCAATTTTCAATTATCTTTACATTTATTTGAGCAGACAAATCTTTGTAGTGTGGAAGAAAAGAGACGAATGCAGAGTTGATGTATAAAGCTTTTTCGCAACATCACTTTCATTTCTGTTCGCTTCCATGCACAAGTCGTACGTACGGCAAAAAATTACGAGTTACAGTTCTAAAAATTTAATTGAAAACTGCTCATGCAAATCAGACAAAATAACAAAGAGCTGTTTTTTTCCCCTACTTCAGAAAAAAATGTTCGTTATATTTTACTTATATTATCTTAATTTCTATGCTTACAAAACTTTCTGTTCCAATAATCACTGCATGGAATATTTAGTCTTTCATGTTTATAAATTTTTTTAAAACAATATAATTGATCTGACACTGCAAAATATTTTTCAACTATCGCATTTTTTGCTGCAGTATAGCGTCCGAAAAGGTGTAACTGTAACTCCATGAAGTAAAGTTACCGCCTTTGTTGTATAGTTAGCGCTAAATGATTACCTAAAACAATAAAACCCGAAACTGAAAATTTTCGAGGCCTTTTCATATTTTTCACTGAGTCCATCAGAATCAAAAAAATGGTATCTGCTTTTTTGAAAAAGAATTTATAGAAAATTTCAAGAAGCTGATTTTGTCCCTTTTGACGAAAAAAAATCGATTTCTTTAGTACCGAAGCAAATAATTGTTAAAATAGCTTTTAATTATATTACATAACAAATAATAACAGATTTGGGTGTTAAAATGCCTCAAAGTAGATAAAGATAATGCGTGCAAAACATAATTTGATTACTTGCAATGTCTTAGAAGCGACCAAATTTGATTTCCACTTATCTTTCCCGATAACAAACGAATCTCAAATGATAATGGACAACGAGTTGTAACACGTATCTATTCAGTGTTGCAAAATATTTTACTGATACCGGTTTTGCTAAATTAGTGGATCAACTTGAAAATTTTTAAGAGCTTTAATAATTTTAAAACATTTTTTTCCGAAAAAATCGTTGCTTATATCTAATGTGTAAGCACAAATATATGTTCTATAATTAAAACAGTTTTCACTTTTTCACTGAATTCAGCGATGAAGAGATGAAAGAAATGAATGATCATGAGAACTATAAAGTCAATATCGTGGAGCAAGAACATCTCTACTTTTACACCTTTTAACTTATTATAATGCTAAGAATTCCTTTTTCAATAGCATTTGTTTACTAAACGTGATGAAAGGAAATTTATCAGTTATAAATATAAAGTTTTGTTTTTTCATTCAGCCAGTTCTCAGAAACTGAATAATATTTATCAGGGTTTATTTCGCAGTGCATCAATATTTTCCATTTTTCATGTTTCAGTGTTTTTGAGCATAACAGAGAAAAGCAATTAAATTTTTTCAAGAATTCATAAAAGCGATTTTCTTATGAGCATTTAAAGTAAACGCGATTTTATGTTCCGATATTTCATTGCAATTCTTTGGTTCCAAATGGGACTATAGATAAATATTATGTGTTTGTATTATTCTAACATAAATATTTTATCTGCAAAACAGAATAATGATTTTAAAAGAGAGAACGAATAATAAGTAAACAATATTACTAGTTTTGAAATAAGCACTGCAATTTAATGATTAAAAAAAAATACAGTTCTGAAGATGAGCACTTGAATTTGACCCTTACTAATACCATATGCTACCATCTGTTTTTTAGTTCATACAGCTTGTATTCATCGCCTTTGTTTAATTATGCTTTTCAAAATGTTCCTCGCTGCAAAGTGTGAAAGAGTAAAATCAATATTGCATTTATAATTTATAAAATTGCAAATTTACATAAAATGCTAGAAAACCAGTATTTCGTTAACCAAATATTTGAGATGCAGTTTGTTATGCATGGACAGCAATATTTTAAAGAACTTTAGGGTTTAAATCGCGTCTTACCTTATCTTAAATGATTAAGGAGCAGCTATTAAAATTAATAATTTATGCTGTAGGTGCATTTCTAGTTATTATGCTCCACAAATGAGTGATAATCTGGTATATATTTGAGTGCTCGGAGATTTATTTAGATTATTCTATGAATATCCTAATTTTCTGACCTACTTGAGTATTTGTCATTCACTTGGAGTCTTTGCGATCATGTTCCAATATTTCATTTTTTTTAACTAGTGTTCTACAAATCGCATACACAGAGAGTTTTAAATTCGGGCAAAAATTCTTCCAAATAATGTTGAAGAGTCAAATTTTCAAATATATAAATGTAAAGAAAGAAAATATCAAGACGTCATGAATAACTGGAGCTAGTCTGGAAGTTATGGTAAGCATATATTCCTGTGTTGGTGCCTTCAAACTTTCCCCAAGGAGGCAATCCGATAAAATACTTGGGTATTTTCATCGTTAGAAATGTCTGTTTTGAAAAGAGATTGAATCAGTTTTCATTTGAGACACAAAGTGTGTTCCTGTGAGCGGTCAGTCAGTTAGTAAGTTTGTTTAATAAAAGGTGCGGCTCAAGGACGCTCTTGGCTGTGTTGAAAGAACTCGTTGTCTTGCTCAGCTCACACTGAATCACAAACAAACAAAATCAAGTAGCTGTAATGGCCTACCAGTGGAAGATGAACTATTATGTATTTCTGCCCACAATAACGCGTGTATAAAACCCTCTCACTAGGTGGTCTATTACTATATAGTCGTATAAGAGCAAAAAACGAGGGATTTGCAATTATGCAGTCAACAGAGTTCACTTTCACCTCATAGATTTTTTGACATACTTAATAACTTAAATTTGGCAATTTTTCTGAAACTGAGTGTGCACATTGAGTGAGGGCAAGAATGCTTGCGAATATTTAATTATGATATAAAATGAGTTTAATCCATTTTTCTAGACACTGCTGCCGCAATGGACTGCTTGTTTAATGAAGGTGATTGGGTACTATCCCGAACTGCTATAACTGGTAGAAAATTCTATACCTATACCGATAAAATGTAGAAGCATTACTATGTCCTGCAGATGTTTAATAAAATTAACAAACCATTTCTAGTTTGCGATTGTAATCGTCTATATCAAAGAGCTTATTACTTATCGTTTAAATCCAAAAAGTATGAAAACGAAAGCTGTATCAAACCATAAATTCAGAATCGAGAATTCCAAGCTTTATTTTCTACGTGCCATTACATTTAAAATATAGAGTGTTAAATCTAACTTTACTTTCGTAAGCGATCTATTCAAAAATATTTTACATCGCGAAAGTAAATGTACTGTTAACAAAAATACAAATTTGAACAAGAGGAACTGTGAAAAATAAAAGCCCATTCTTGGCCATTTCATTCATGTGAAAATATCTAATTTCATGTTTAACAAGAAAATTTATCTATATGGTATAAATTACGGTACCCACAAACAGTTAATGATACTACTTTTGCATAATACTTCTGTGTCTGAAATACTTCTTTGTGACACGCAATCAGAGAGCTAGTTTTATTTTATTTTAAATTTATAGAGATGGCTATCACTAATAACTTCTATCTTCAGATTCCATTTGAGAAAGACAAAGATTTTATTACATCCAAAAAACTGAATAAAGTTTGAGCAAAATATAGTAACTGAACATTGACGATCAATGATACAAATTGTATTTTTCTTTGTACATTATTTTATTTTCAACAAAATGCTTTCTTCATAATAAATAGAGCACAGCTTAACAAAGTAAGAAAGAACTCGAAAACCATAATCCACCTTCATATGAAATAAACAGCTACACTATTCATCTTTTTTCTTAAATATCGGCTTGACAGTTATTATATTGACATACAAAAAAAATAGCATAAAGTGACAGAAACAGTAAACTGCCACTAGAAGTGAAAAAATGTGAGGATATCGTTTTGGTGGTGAGAACAGTAGGCTTGCCAAGCACAAGATCAACGAACCCAAGCAACTTCCGTGAACGACCAGCCGCTATAGAGAAATATTATTGATTTTACAGCGAATAAAAAAATGTCAAAACAAACTATATGATCAGCGAAAATTTCAAAGAACAGGAACAAACCCTATTCCATGGTAACCATAAAGTAAGCTCATTTGATTTTAGAAAATGAAAGCTAAGTACCTTGCTCAATGAAAGTTGCGCAAATGACGAACTTGCGATAAGATAATAAAGTACAAATAATGATAAATGAGTGGCATTCCCATCTACTATACATAATGGATACAAGCTGAAATAAAACAGTATATTTGAAGAAACTACTAGCAAGATAGTTTTAGCTGCCTCAATTAGGAGTTCATACGACAACTGTCTCAATTTTGTGAAACCGAAACACTTGAACTCAACAAATTCAAGTGCTTTATATAATTAGGACAAAATACCAGAGACAATATATTTCTGACGTATCTAACATAAATTTACAACTTTGTAATGAAAGCCCAAAACTGAAGAAAATGTGAATAAAGTGGAAAAATATAGACGGTAACCTTGCATTTGAAATGATTAATAACCAAGAAATGAAAACTGAATTTTCCTTCCATAATAATATCGCGGGTCTAAAAAATTTTAGCGATAAAATACAGTGATATTGACGCTTCTCAAGGTTAATTGAAAATTTTGTAAACATTTGATGATGAATAAAAAACTTACATGGCTACAAAAAGGATTGATTTTTCATGAACCTGAAATGAAAACAGGAAAAACGAAAGACTGGATGCCAATAAACCATACTTGAAATTGACCACAGATGGATGATAAAATATACATAAAAGACAAGGAATATTCGTAATCATAACTGCCACTGCGCTATAAACACTCACTAATTTCCTGATGATTTTGATAGGACAAAAAACAAAAATACTGATAAATGAGAATAAATAATAATAAAAATATAAGCATGTACCTTAAGCGTAACAGGGACGATAATTCGAAATTTTCTTTAATCTTGAAAAAAACATTAACAGCAAACCAAAAATTTGCTACTTTATCCTGAAAATATATTATTTCGTTTCAAACAATCAAATATTCGTATATATTTCACTTATATGCGCTAGCATTTGGATTGAAAAATCTGTCCACATTCGACTGCAATACTATTCAATTTATTCATTTTACTGTTTCACACCTTGACTTCTCATTCAATTTTCGGTTCTGTTTGCTCCTCTGATTCACTTAATTTGTATATTCATTTATGATGAATGTGACTAAATAAATATACAATATGCGAACAAATTCTACGTATTTATGATTTCAGTACTATCGAAATTAGAGGTAAAAGGTAACTACACAATTATTTATAGAAAAAGTTCGAAAACAGTCTAAAAAGCTCTTTCATACCTCGAAAAGCCCTCGATAAAAAGGAAATATACGATGCAAAATTTGGAACAAATCAGAATGAGTGATAAGAAAAGGAAGCCAAACAAGGATCATAGTCATTATGGCAGTAATGAATAGCATGAGTAAGCTACTGGCCAAAGAAAAGTACCTGAAAATGACTGTTGTCATCTTTTTTGGTGAGGAATGCAAAATATTCAACTTTTAAATGCCTATTTATTTTATTTTTATGTTAATCTGATGAAAAATAAGACCTTTCAAATGTACTAAACCCAATGTTGTTTAAAAAACATCTCGATAATAAATACATGGCAATAGGTAATGCATGGTACAACTCCATTTGCTTAAAATTAATGGCCAAAATAAAAAAAACTGATCCGAGTCTGAGAAAATTTGAAACGAAACAAGCAAATGAAAAGAGGAATAAACCAAGCGACATGTGATTATATCTGGAATTATAGAAAATTTTATTTTTTGCAGAAATTTATAATTAAGTACTTTTTTCGATGCTATTTCTTAACTAACCCAAATACATAATAAAGAATTTTTAAATAACTATGATTTTCAATTAACAACAAGAATTTGAGGTAAAGCTTTCACACAACACAATTGAAAACGTACTGAAAATGGCCATTATCCATAGACAATAATCCAGGATAAAGTAAAGCTATTGTGCAATAACTGAGCTAAAATATATTCTATTTGCACGAATTATAAAGTTCACGAAAATAATACAAAATGTTTACAGTTGCCTCATAATAATTAGTTCCAAAAAGATATAAACTTTACCTGGAGTTAGATTAAAGTAAATAATAACTGTAACTGTAAAACTGAAAAAAATTTCAACCAAAATTTACCATTTTTAAAGACCTTAAATTGTGAAAGAAGCCGATTGAAAGTAGTAAAGATGGAGCATAAACTATCCAATAAGTTACTAAAACAGACATTCGCATGAAGAATTTGTGAAACTCTGCTTCTATTCCTCTTGACATGTGTAATTCAACCCAAGAGGAATTAAATTTGTTTGCTCTGCAGAATGATGTTTATTTATGATAAATTTTTATATTACATTCTTAAATAATATAAAAAACTGATATGCTTTCATTACTACAACTGTTTTTATGTTTGACTGGAAGGAAAAATTTTTGAAATTGCATTAAATAATTAGAAACATTTTAAGCATCACGTTCTTTATAAAACCAGTACTATATCACTAAATTTCAGTAGAATCTCTATACCAATTAACAAATGTCAACTATTCTGTAATTTCAATGATAATTTTGTTTTGTGATAATTACTTACACTTAAATTATGAAGGTTATTCACCATTACTGATAAAAATTTGAAACAAATAACATGTTACTTACAAGAATAATAGTAAATGAAATCAACTTACAATGTTCCAAGCAACCAACTATGATAAGCAGTGAGAGGTGGATAGTCCAAACCCCAGTAATTAAGATCATTATCACTACTATTTACATACCTATAAGAATATTTGCTCCTGAGTCTTTTCAACAAATAACAGTGCGGTGACAGAAATAATGAAATGATATAAAAAACTTTGTGGATATAAACGGTTTATATGTGAAGAAAAATAAAATTAATCTTTAAAGATTATTATTTATTTCAGATTCTACTATCTAGCAATTTTTAAACCTATAAAGTAGCTAGAATATTGCGACAAGATAATTCAGATAAGCGATCTACATATGAATAAACTTCTCAGGACAGTTAAAATAAAGATTTTGAACCATTACCACTGACTAATTGGCAAATGATACGTAATTTCCATCCAATGTCTTTGAGCTTCATAATCACCATACATCGGTGGAGTTGCATAGCCTGTAATATCACTTACTAATCACAAATCCCTGAAATACCAACAAAAATAATTTTGAAACCAGAGAACAATTTTAATTAATTCGTTGTTAATAGCAAAAATAATTTTGTTCTGGAAAATGCTACAGTAAACATCATGTCATATAATATTCAAAAAAACGAGTGAAATAAAAGCGATAAGAAATCATTAAAACTGAGCACGCAAGAATCATAATAATCCGATCAACTAAAGATAAAAACACAACTAATTGCGAAAAAATTTAAAACATTAATAAAGTCCTAAAATGTGTTACCCAAAATATTTCATGAATGACAAACCAGAATAAGAACCACAAGAGAGAGCGAGCTGAATAGTGACAATGAGACATATAACAGCTAAAATAAGCATTCTGCTTGTAGGATTGTCGATGCTAACATTGCAACTAACAACTGCTTTGCGGTCATCGCAACAAGAACTGATATCGTTATTATCACTGCAACCACATTCCATCATCAATCCTTGCTAGCGTCGCTAAATACTACGATGCATAAAGGTTGAGAATGTGATCAGCAAACGCAACTAAACTCTGTCAAATTTCTCGGAAAAATATCGCGAGTTGTGTCTGAACCTACTTGGCGGTTTTAGAGTGAATATGGTGTACATGTTTTGTTTATTATGTTCAAGGCTCCTAAAGTGGAGGTTTATAGATTAGGCTTTTTTTTTACTTATTCTGTACATGAAAAATTTTGTCCTAAAAGTATTTATTCATACTTCTATTAGCTTTGCAACCCATGGCTCAATGATGTTAATCTTTGAAGAGTTAGCCTGTAGTAATGAATTACGATCATCTTCCGACCCACATATTTTCAGCGAATTTATGGAAGTCGTGTACCGAAAAATTTTTAAATGAGGAATGGCTACTACTTTCTAAAAATTAAACATTTAATCGTTCACAAACACTACGGAAACCACATTCTCATCACTTCTCTTTTGGAAAACCACTGTGCGTAATTGCTTTTATATTTTAACTGAACATCATTTAAATTTTACAGTGTTTCTATTTTTAAATGCTGGTTCATATGATTCTCAAATTGTATCAATTATATCTCTTTACTTGATCCCTGTAGAAGGTTTCCTTTTAATATCCATTTATCTGTAATTCTGTTTAATCTTTAAAGTTGTTTGGAAATATTGTCTTTGGAAAATTTTTTGCATAATTGTGGAAAAAAAGTTAAAATGTCGTAAAGTTAAGTGTGAAATACCTTCTCTACTTAAAATATTACAAATGCTTTCATTTTAATCAGTTTTAAATTCATATTAAAAAAAGATATGACACATTGATTGTGGGCGATCATCAGACGATAAATTTTCGCTTCATATTGCTCATAATCGAAACAGGGTGCTAGACTTACTAAAGGTATTTTTTGAAAGTTTTTGGTTGCAATAGTAAAATAACCTTAAAGTTTATTACTTAAAACTGAGTTTACATGGTTTTATGACTACATCATTATTCATATTGACAGAATATGAAGTTTCAGTCTCATCAGACCATGAAATTAAAAAGATGGAATTTTACGCCTTTAATATTTTCCATTTTGTGTGATCATAAGTTGCAAATAAACAAAATATGAAAGAGTAACAGAAGTACTGAAAAAGTGCGGTCAAATTAGTTAACCATATCATCGGTGAAATCTGGGAAGTGGTTCTCTTTTTAGATTATATGAAATCTGATAATTTAGAAATATTAATGAAATCTGGTTCCATAAAAATTTTCGCACATGCCATTTTAAAAAAGCGGAGCACTCAAGACAGCATATAAATTGTTTTGGCAATCAGTATTTTGCTCTTGTAGTAGTAATATTGGTATGACTGCTTCAAAAAGATAGTCTTTTAAATTGCTTTATTAAAAATAGATTCGCGGTATTAATCATTATTTCAAATTGTATTTTGACTTATAATTAGTGACTGGGATTAGATTGTTATGAGCTTAGTTTGTTTTGTCTTCGCGAATTTTTAGTAAACATTATAGAGAGTGATCAAGTTAAAATGAAGTAAAAATTTACAAATAAAGTGTTACATTGTCTAAAGAAAAGCACATAATGCTGAAAGGATAGCAGCGCTATAGACTTCTAGACTTCTGACATTTCACATATGGGGTCATTCCAGCATGTATTATTAGGTATACTTTTTACGATAGTGCACTCTTCTGTTTCATCATTGTTACAAACTGGAATCAACATTGTTATCTTAGTAAAATATTATGACGATAGGTAAGATGCTTTTTTATGCATGAAGATGAGTTGTAATATTTTTTAACTGGAAACATTTTCAAGGAGAATGGCGAAAAAGTTGGTATCAGTATCACGTAAACACATGTCTAGTATTTTTTAACGTTTTTTTAGCTGGAAGACTTTTTTTCTCACAAAAGGTGTTTCAGTAGGAAGTCAGCCCATTCTGCGCGATTCTCATGAAATAAAAATATAAACCAAGTATAGATTTTGGATTTCCATGTCAATTAACAGAAAAATTAGATAAGATTAAACAATCTCCCTGAGAAATGGTAATCTTCGTTTATCATACTTCTGGATGTAACTTCTGTGTTATTTCGAAGAGTATAAACGAAGCTTTAAAAAATTTAGGCACAGTAGTATTTTGGTAGTATTTATCAGTAAATAGGTACCATTTGTTCCAACTTTATTTGCTTGTGCAGTCTGTTAGTATCATTTTTCATGTGCCGCAAGCATGCTATGGACTCCTGTTTAAAAGTGACGCCAGAACAACCGCGATGCCTGAGGGACAGAACTCGCTCTAAATCCTCGTAAATTGCACCAGATAGAATAACCAGCATGTCGCGCATTTCGAGCTGCAATCAAAACTGAATTCTGCAAGCAATCGAATTTGTAATCGAACTAGTTTTATTTTTTTTTTCGTTGCAATAATGATTGCATCGTTAGTGTTAGTAGAGTTTGAATTTTCAAATTTGATTGAATATACAACTCATGATAAGGTCAAATTAGCTGCACTATCAGAGCTAAGTATTTCTCATGGCAAAGTATAAGGAATAAAATGAACTTGAAGCTATCGTGGAATTATTTCTAAGAGACGAAAGAAATTTATTAACAATAGTAAGCTCATCATGTCTCACTTCAAAACAAAACTTCCCACGTTAAATGATTATTATGTTCAGTAAGCTTTACAAAATATGCCGAATTTTATTTTCGACTTTCTAAATTTAAACAATTAAATTCGTAAACTTGTTTAGAAATTAAATCTTTATTGGTGTTTTGAAAATTCTTTTAAGATTATTGTAAATTATCATTAATTTTATCATTAGCTGCTTACACCCCTCCCATATAAACAATTTTCCTATCACCCTTCCATCAGGGATATTAATTGTGAAAAAGGAGAAACCTCGTATTTGTTGAATTTCAATAACCAATCAACTTTAGTTTCATTGATTCGAGCTGTGTCAATATTTACTCGAATAAGTTTCTCTGATGCAGCCATTTCTATCTCTAGCTTTACCAAAAAAGGCAAGACTTTTTCCTGAAAAGCTAGTTGTATTAATTAAATATTTGATCAGTTTGCGGCTGAATTATTATTTATTAATTAAATAGTTGATTGACTAATCAATTAATTAATTTTCCTATTCAATTTTTTAAATGTACTTGGTAACATCGCTATTGAAATGTTTTTCAGTATTACACTTGCACCAACAGCAATGGTTGTCATTGATGAATGCATAACTTGTCGAATGGTTTGATTTTTCATCATAAAATTAATTAGATACAAGAAAAATTCAGTTTAAATGACCTCAAGTTCGTGCAGTAAACTACGCGCACTTTCGGATTCATCACAAACATCTGCTGCGAAATCCGTCAGCAAATCGACGATTATTTTTAGCTGCAAAATATTTAGATTTCGTGACTTCAAGGAGTGCGTACTCTAGTTTAATTTTTTGTGTTTAATTGAAAGTTTCATCAAGAAATGAAGGAAGCTCAGTCATACAAATAGTAACACTAAATATTACTGGCATTGTATGTTGTAAACTTTTGTTCTTTACATTCAATGTGGTCTTACTTTTTTGAGCTTCCTTCATTTCGTAATGGAACTTTCAATTCTTAGTAATGTATTTTATGAATATAAACATTTATTGGCTTATGGAAATTGATTTCAGTTGATAATGCTTGGAAGAAAGTATAATTGCACAGATTTGATCTACACAGCAATTGTTTAAAGCGAAATTGTGTAAAGAAACTACTTCAGTTACGTAAAATTGGTTGCTAACTTGACTGCAAAGATGTGCACATATTGATGCCAGATGTTCCTTATCGACGATAACATTTTCACATACTTGAGGGATTGTGTCAAGTGATCCAGATCTTGGAGAAAACTTACTACTTGATCGATTTACAATTGCATGACAGTTAGGTGATGGCGGGATATCATGGAGACTGCAAGCAAAATTTAGTCTGCTTCCTCGATTCATTCACACTAAAATAATTTAAAATTAGAAATAATTGAACAGTGAATTAGTGGACCACAAGAACTCTAAGGAGTTATTACTGAAACAACAATTATATGAAATGCTACCTCTTTTTGCATTAGATAAAGTTTCATACTTTTTGAAAATAGCTGCTCTACTCAAAATTTGCTGGTTGCTTTTTAGTTAAGCTTCACCTTTCGGAATCATTATACTATTATTTTTCGAAGATTCAAAAATGCAAGGATTCGGTAAATAAAATTTATTAATAATGGTAGGAGCAGTTGCGTATGTGGCCTATTTTGGAAATAGTACGAAAAGTTCGGTTAATGATGTACTGTGGAAATGAAGAGGAAATGTCGTAAATTTTTGTAAAATTTCAGTGCCCCAAAATTTATAGAAAGGTTAGTGATCAAATAATTATTTCTATCGTTTTTACTGCTGAAAATTTAAATAATCTATTGGTTTCCAGCAATTTTATTGATGAGAAGGATGAAGTAGGAAAAGAACATCGGATGATAGGAAATTACTTGTTTGATGAACTAAAATTGAACATTAAATGCCATGTTGTATGATAAATTTAGTTATCCATGAATTGTAAGGATCTGAAAGAGTTCTTTCAAAAGTGCCCTAAATTTTTTAGATAACAATTGTTACCCTAAATTAACGAACGAATTGAAATAATAGCACTAATGTAATGGTCCTTAATAAGCAATTTAGTTTCAAACAGAAATTTTGTCAAAAATAATTAGCTTAATCAGAGCTTTGGAAAATTTAATTTTAATTCATATAAAACTTTGGTACGCATTAAGATAATGCGTAGGAAATCGTACTAAAGTGATTTGTAATTTTGCCGATTACGCAGTTTCGAATTTATGACTCTCAGTTTATATTGTTACTATAACAACGAAAAATTTGTCAGAGTTCGTACTGCAGATAATTGCAACTACTGTTTCGCAAATATGAACTTCACACTTTTAGGATTATTTATTGGCAAATGCTGGTACAGCTACTGTCATAAAGAAATGGTAATTAGGTAGTAAAATAAAATAGATTTCATTTTGCATGAAATTCTGAACGGAGTATGAAATTTATTTTATACTGTGAAATAAAAACTGTAAGATCTACGAAGGTCGCACAACTGAACCTCAAATTTTGCTGTCTTTCTAAGAAAATGCTTACATTTCGTAAGCATTACCTTCAATTTTTTTATAAATTGAAGGTTATAGAAATATAGAAATGTTAAATTTTGCAACATGCCAGAAATCATAAATCGCAAATAATTTATTAAAGTTTTTCAAAAATATTTTTCGCATATGATAAGTTATCAGAAGAAGGCTTAAACTTACAAATAATTTAATGAATGTCATCTCCAAAGTTATCATGAAAGATGGCAATCAAATTGATGTAATAGATCATTAGCAATATAGTTATTGACGACTACTAAACTTTTAATGTGTATTGTATCGCTTGTCTAGGTTTTAACGGAGAGTGAATGGAGTGTGATTTTAATATGTATTAACATTATAGTGAATTTATAACGTGTCAGTAAATTTATGAAAGTTAACAATAAATTTACAACATATTTTTAACACAGTTTTGAAAAGCTGAGACTCTAGTACATCAGATTTAATAATTATCCTGTACATTTTTGTGTGATAATCCCTCATTATTTACTTTTGTTATTCTTAAATGAGAGACAAACAACTGAATATTTGTTTACCTGGTACCTGCAAGTAATTCATTATAAAAAAGAGATGAATGAAGTTACAAAGCAAGCACAACTTAGTTGATCGTGTTTTGTTCACCTTGACCAACACTCCAAATACAAAATTGTTTGCGTTCAACTGAAAAAAAAAGAAAAAAACATGACAAATCCGAAATCATATCTTTTTCATCGAGAATGCAGGAATTAATTCAGTGAAGATAAAATGCGAACGCAACGAGAGCGATGAAATAGTATTGTAAATTTGATTACGATGATCCAGCAATGACATTGTTAAAAATGCGGCTGAAAATAATTTTGACTTACTGTTAGTTTCATTCATATATGCCATAATAATTAAAGTATAAGGATGCCACAAATATATGGCCACAAGAATGCTGGATTAGTCTTAGTTCTCAGTTCACATCCAATCGAGTGGACTAAGTCCTAAGACATATATTCAACTACGAGCTTTTTAGGGCAACAATAACGATATACTTTGAGAGATGGAATTACAGCGGCTGCTGGCATCAGACTTGCTCTCTCATAGGTTCTTATTAACAGATTTAAATTGTACCCAAATTTGTACCAGATAACTGGCCTCAAAGAAAACGATGTCTCACTATTTTTCGTCACTACTTCTTCATACCGAGAGTGGGTAATTTGTGCGTTTAGATATTTAATTGAAATGTCCTTGAGTGTTTCTTAAGAGAAGTGAAGATAGTGATTCAACGATTACAGAACTGATAGAAGCATACAAGAAATTGATATATCAAAATAATAATATTATTCATAAAACTGATTCATGAAATGATAGAAATCAACAAAAAGCTTTTGCAAACAAACTGATAATTTCGCTTCTAGAAAGTTTTTATAACTCGACATGCTTATTTACATAAACGAAAGTTACAGACACATCTTGTTTTTTGTTTATTGTGAACTTCAAAAGGAAATGTGGCTTATCCTGACTTATATAAAACAACTCTGAATTCCATCATAAAACTTTTCGAGCATTAGTGAGAAGGGGAATAACAACTAACCCATGAGGGACAGCTTCGAAAGCAGGCATAGTTACATCGCAGTTGCTGGTTTTTGAATTCGGAATTGCTTGCAACCTAAAGGCAATAAATATTTGCTAGCTGAGGAAAAGAAATGTATCGACTTATTCGCAACCAAATTCAGCAATTCAAAAGGATGAGCTGACATTTCTTAAAAAATGTAAAATCAAACATTTTAATATGCGGATGCATTTCAGTCACCATTTTTTCAAGTAATTTTGGAATATGAATAATAAATATTGCAAATTTTAAGTTCATATGCTTTGTGGTTGAAGTACGTTGATTAGTGGTTGAACACAAAAATATGACAGCGGAAAAAAAATTATGTGACTGTCACTTTAAATGGCGCTGTTAATGATTAAAACCATCTTACTTCGTTTATTCTAAAATTGTTTAATAACAGCTGTTTAGATAACTGGGGCCTCAAAAATGATGCAACTAACTTTTTTCACAAGTCTGAATTTAATTTGACTGAATAAAAATAATTGATCGCTATTCAAACATTCTTTGTTTTCAATATCTTATGCTAACATATAAAAGGATTATCGCAAATTGATGCTCTTAGTGAGACTTAATATCCTGGCAAGCATAACAAAGAAAATCATTTGTTTTTTAATGAGCAAATTCAGCATAAATTTCAAACATTCTCTCTTCTGAGTGGTGATAATGCGAGTACATTTTACAACCATAAAAATGAGAAATAGAGCAATCAGGGAAAGAATCTGACCATGAGAAGTATTACATTAAGAAAATGGATCGAATGAAGCATGCAAAAAACAGTCATGAGCTGATGATCTCCAAAATTATATAATAAATGAGACCAATAAATCTTAAATTTAATCGAAATCATGCTCATTTCTACATCGTTTACTGTCGAAAAGAGTGATAAGCTAACTTTTGTTTGATTTGACGCATAAACTTTTGAATTTTACAAGCAGCACGTTGTCGCTTCCGGTAGTAGTGCCCTCTGAAAGGCAATTTTCATATCAAATTTCAACTTATTAGCCCATTAACATTTAGCAAAGAATTATAAACTAAGCCACTTTTTTTAGGAGCAAACGTGGAGTAAGAAGTGTAATTTATGATTATCTACCTGAAAGCATGCTGTATTGTAGCAGCTGCTTGATGTTCTTTTCCTAGTGATACTTCATTCAAGCCAATATTCTGTGAAATTAAGCTGCTATATTAAATACATGTTTAAATAGATGTGTTTGAAGCTTAAAAAATTTAGAAATTAACTGGCTAACTAACCAAGATTTTACAAATGCATTAATTTCTTGGCAATTCTCAATACTTACCCGAATCTGGGAATTACTACAAAGCTTTGATTCTTCCGTACCTCTTTGATTCTGAACAGCTTTGCGCATTCGAAAATGTTTTTGTATCAACATGGCTGCTTTGTGTAATTTCTTGAAGTAACAGTACTAGAATACTTTTGAAAATTACCAAACCAAGTTGGAGTGGAGGTGCCATTGATAAAAAAACAGAAATCATAATTGGGACATGTAATACCCTATAATCATTTTACTTTTCGGTTAGTTTAGAAAGTTGAGAATTCTGTTAGTTTAGAAAAGCACAGCATATAATTCGGAATTTTTGGAATCTGTCGCGTAAATCATTTCTATATAATATAATAGATTTTTAAACTTAAATTGCCTGGTAGGATTAGTCAAAACCAGAGTAATAATTAAACTGTGATAAATAAAGCTATTTGTATGGCATCAGTTGATTTTAGAAAGAATTGTAATTTTCAGTGTATTATTTAAAGAGCATTTCAAAAAATGCCCAAAATGATTGAAATTTTGTAAAGGAATTAGTTCAAAAGTTGATAAATTTTTATCAGAATAATAAAAAAATTTAACGACTGACCCGGCAATTTCCAAGCGAAAATGAATGCTTTTTAATTGGAATTAGTGATCAATTTTGTGCGTTTTAAACTCAACCTTAGTGTTAAAAATGATAGGCTTAGCCCACTTTTAGTAAACAATTCAAAACGAGTGTTCGAGTTCATCCGTTAAAATACTTTTAACCCGTTTTTTTCGTACTAGAGAATAAAAGAATGGAATGATATAACTTAGTGAATCAATTATTTCTTGTGTCATTTCTGCTTGGTGACTGCATAATTTCTAAAAAGCGAAAAAATAGGAAATATATAAAAGAAACAAAAAATCAACTCTGCCATCAAAAGAACTAACTTTTCATAAGTATCAGGTCAAGCTTCAATACTTCTCATTTATTTATAACACCAAGTTATTTTGAATTCAGTAGTTGCGTTTCCTTTCAATAAAACCTTTTTCAAGCAAAATAAAGTCCCAAAAATCATCATAATGAATGATACATTTATTCTTAATTAAGAAATTTATCTAACTTCAATGTAAAGTGACTTGCAAGTCTATGACCGACAATAAATATTACTTCGCACATATTTTCTTGCATCATTTTGAATTACGAAATTAATTTAGAATATTTGTCTTAAATAATTTTAGCTTATTTTTACTTGTTTATATCGTCTATAGTAATTTTGAATAACGATTGCTGCGTTTTGTTTGGCTTCATTTTGACGTCGTATTGTTATACGAGCTCTGTATTGACGGTATGCTTGTTGTATAATCTTTGCAGCTTCATATAGCTCACGTTGTTCTCGATCTAGACAAAAAAAAGAAATAAATACCTTTCGAAAACTTTGAAAAAAATTAGTTTTTTTATATTTCCTGGTAAAAATTTTTGATAAGCAGCACAAAAAAATAAATAAAGGCTTCTGTCTTGTTTCTGCTTGCACAGTTCAAGCAATTAACATCCAGAAAAAACAAACCAATAATACTGTATACCTTATTTATTAACTAAAAAAACATAATGTAAAATAAATTTCATATTAATTACATTTTCAAACGTATATTGACAGAACTCAGAGATTATATTTGAATGTTTCAAAAATATATAAAAAATATATTTTTCTTGGACTTGTAAAAGCTCTGGTCATATCAGGGCAAAAACTAAATAATTATTTTGTCTAAGGAAAGAAGCTAAAATAAATTAAAAGGTGGAAAAACTAACAATTGCGGAACTCAAGCCACCGTAGGAAACCAAGATGAGTAAGACGCGGTGAACCCATCGAAGTATTTTAGCGGTTTTCAACCTCAATAATATTTGATTAAGTACACACAATAGCTGAGTAGTTGACTCCTTTTAAGAGTCTTCCTTAAAATTAAACGATCAAATATAACTGCAAATCGCGCTTTCATAACTTAAAGTAAAAGAAGGCTTGTTATATGGTGCAATAAGTACCACCAGGTGAAAGGTTAAATCGATGAAATGCAAAAGTTCCGTTGGGGCTCCAAGCTGTAATAGCAGTTAAAGGGAATGTGAAAATAACTGCTTCCAGGTGTGACTAGTGGGGCAGGAAATAGCAAAGTAGTGATGTGATACTTCCAGAGGAAGCAATGAAAAGGCAGTCAGCAGGAATGGAAAAAATGAAAATTTCCGGAAGAATAGATCTTTTCTGCGTTCTTCTCAGTGTAATAATACGTTCTAACCAAACTGATTCAAATTCTAAAAGAAATTATCTCAGTAAGCACTCCACTCATTTTATCACCATAACACACATTAGTCAAATAGTTGCAAAAAGTTTACAGATTTATTTGCGGAAGTGCAGGAAATCTCTTTAAACATTCTTAACATGAGTGACCTTATGTAAGACTGAGTGCACGAAATTCTCCAGCCACTTCGTAAATTAAATATACTAAGCATATTTGGTATACTAAAAACAAATGAAGTATTATAAAACTTTATTGAAAGTTAAAAAAGTGAGGATTACTTTGACCATGCATTAGAAACTACATTCCCACAAAAAAATTTCATCACCATAATGTTCAATAAATAATATAAGTATTATCTGAGTTAATTTAACTTTTTTGTAGCTATATTTTTGTAATATAGCTACTAAAAATACTATTGTATTTCCAGAATAACCGAAATGGTATAAATTAATTAACAACTACTTTTGTTCATTTTTCTTATCTATCACCAAGTGTTGAACTAATTTAATGGTAATTCATAATGCAGAGAAATTATTTCAGGCTCTAAAAATTTTGTTTTTTATTGGCGCATTGATCTGAATTGAGAAATGTGCTATAAAATCAAATTATGCTTGAAAAAACAAATACTTCATATTGAGAAAATATTGCTTGTTTTTAAATTTAACACAAGTTGTCAGCACGGTATTTCGATCTATTATGTCAGCAACAATACCATCAATTTACTAAGAGTCAAATAAAAGTTGTGATTCAACTTTATTCAATAGAATTATAATTTACAATATGAACAGTGCCAAGTTATATGGTGATCTCCACTATGCTGTTAAGCATTTAAAATTTTTAATCGACGCTGTGTATTCTGTAAAGCACCATCAAAATAATTTACGAACTTTATTGTACGATGGAATACACATTTAAAATAATGGAAATAAAATTAAAGTTACTTGATCAAATTATCATAGATGAAACATATGCATAACAAAATTACTGGCCATATTTCTACTCACAAAATTAATAAAAAGCAATTTTTAAAGCAGTTTTCTCAATTCTTTTTGTCTTTTAAGAAAATTATTAAAAAAAAATCATGTTAAAAGAAATAAAGTTAGATATAAGTACAATGTGAAATAGACTGTAATATTCGACTTTATGTGTTACATCATTTTTACAAAGTTTCTTAGTAAGCTGTTTGGACAGCGTACTTATCAGTTGCTTTCAGTCAGAAAATTGACTGATAAAGTTACATTTTATTGGTAGATTTTTGATACAGCACTTTCAGTGATTCAAAAAAAAAACTGATTTTCTATCGGAAGAGTATTTTAGCAAAGAAAAAATTTGTATTGATCGGTATCAAAAAAAATAGAACTAATTATTTTTGATTTGATAATTATTTGGTGGAAAGTAACTCTGCATCAGCAATAATTTTGAATCAAATCATTTTGAATGAATGTGCTTTCGAAAGCAGTAAACTGAGCAAAAAAAGAATTATTAAGGTTTTTCAGTTCCTTTAAAGTATTCTGATTTATAATTTAGAGGAAGCTATTTCCAAGCGCAAATTATTGCAAATAATCGTCGAAAATTATTCGGTAAGAATAAAGAAGATTTGATGAAATGACATATTCGATCTTTCAGAAATAAAGACTGTTTAATACAACAAAGTAAGAGTGCAGTTTTTGCTGAAAATTAAAGTTTGTTCATCATGTCTTTCATTCATTTCATGAGTATCTTTGAAAAGAAATCAAATAAACAGAATGAAAAGTAAGTTTTAAACTCACAAAGTAATTTAAAAGAGTTACCCAAACTTTAGAGTTAATTGAAAAAGGTAGAGCAGTTGATATTATGATTTACTACACTCCCGAGATTTAAAATTAGATAAATCATTTAAATTTGACATATTTAATTTTTATCATTAATCCATGGATTACAATATTAAAATATGATAAACTGCTTTATACACGAAATAAGAAAATAGTGTTAAGTGCGTTAATGTAAATCCAACGTACTACAGAGAGATAATTATGAAAGCTTCACTTTTTGTCATTGAAATAAACTATCACAAAGTAAAGTTCGAAACTGCACATCATTTTGTGTCAATTAAACCAACAACAAAACAGTGGCTTAGTCGACACAAAATTATAGAAACTGTTATCCACTCGTTAAAGAAAATAAGTAGCAAAACAGTTTTATCAACGACTATCATTTCTAATGAAAATACATCAGAAGTTGAGAATTAAAGATAAATATAAAGAAAAAGAAGACAGGCACATTATTAATAGCCAAATTCCTCGCATAGCAAATTAGCAGAAGCTGCAACAGCTGTTTAGAGCCTATCATCGAAACTTCAAGTTAGTGTATTTCAGGAAACTGTTCCCGAGTTTCTTTTCTCTTGCTCAAAATATATTATCATTTTTATCTCTTAGCCATTTTGCTATTATCTTCAGCCTTCACATTTTCTTTGTCCAAATTAATGCGGAATTATACAAACACAATTGTGAAAGCAGACGAAAATCATCTAAATTACATATTAATAAGATTTTAAAAATGAATTTTTTTTGCAGAATATTATTGCTGAAAGAAGTTTCAAATACATAAATAAAAGCAACAAACAACTCTTAGTGACGTATAATTTGAATATATTATCACCACTATATGGTTTGAAGACAGCTGTGTGGAACGAAATAATTTTGATCGTTTATTTGAATAATTTGTAATGAATAATAATAAAACAATGAGTAAGTGTTGAAGGAAATAAAATGAGTGTAGCTTTCTAGGTGCCACTCTTTACCCATCAAAAATAATGAATGAGGAATCTTAGTCAATTTTTAATTAATTATCAATGATGGAAATAACGTAAAAAGTAGCACAAGAATAAAACAGTGATGCCAAAAAAAATTTTCAGCACTATAGTAATTTGTAGCAAACAGATAAACGAATAAAACAATACAAAATTACCGAAAATAACTATTCTGAGTTCATGCAGCATACATCATTTCAGTATTTAATTTAAGACATTTATAAATAGCTAGAAAAAAAATAAACTGTTTTGACTCCTTGAGAGCATACAGTTTCATTTCAAAATGCTTCTTTATTCAAATTTTCTATCGTGTGTTCGATTTATTACTATTACTGCAGTGATCAGTTGACAACTGCTTACATCCTTCTTTTCAGAAGTTTTATGATGTTTATTTTCTGTATCGACAAAGCAGAAAAAATAATACCAAATATAAAAGCATGTGAAGTTATGAACATGTATTGGCAATGACTGATTTATATGTATATGATATTGAGCGAATTGTGAGAGGTAGATTTTTTATCACTACTGGTGCTGTAAAGTGTAGTCAGTAATTTGTAGATGAAATAAAGTAATGGAAAATTTTGACAAAACTTGATTGACAGGCAAATCAGTTTATGACGTACAGTGCAAAATTTGTAAGAGTGGAAAAACGCATCTAGTATTTTCTACAAAAAATATCATTACTTTCAAAAAAATATCATTGTAGAAAATAGTAGTTACTGATTTGCTGCAAAATAATTGCAGACAAAAAATACCAAATTGAAATTTTCTGAAATTCATGCACTAAAAACTTTGCACTACTCAGATCTTTCTCTAGATATGTTCATTTTTTAAAATTTAGTTGTCTATCATTAACAGCTTGATAAATTCCTAATCAAGCTGAAAATAAGTCATCCACTGTGCAATACTTGGGACGAACTTCCATTTCAGCCATGAACTGTATTTTTATCGTTGGTACACAAAATAAATATTTTCTCATGCAATACATCTTATTCAAGCAAAGTGAAATTTCTTTGTAAAACAATAGCTTTCAATGATTAAAACATTGAAATTGATTGTTTTGATGTTAATTTACTTGATTTTTATCTTTACTTTATTACCATTGATCATTTTACTCTTGACTACAATATATATGAGATGTAAATTGCTGATGAACGTTTAAGCAACAAAATAGCGTTACAAAGCATTCTATGTTTTGAATTTCTATTATAAATACTCTAGGAATTTAACCGAAGCTGAAAATTTATCAATGTTTTTACTTTAATCAGTATTATTGTAATAAATTAATTTCATACCAAATTTTGTATTGATTACAATTTTTTCATTGAAAAAAGAACAAGAAATTTATTTTAGGGATTTTAATTAATGATTCATGATATCTTTAATGATGCACAATTTTGTTTACTATCAGTCTAGTAACCGCTGAAACAACAATAAGAAACGGAAAATCATCCAAAGCAAAACTGATATCTTAATTTTTAGACTGAATTAAACTTACGTTTCTAAATCCCATTTACATCTGTTTCTTGCTATCAGCATCAGTTTAAATTTTCTATCTTTAGTGACCTGCGCTTCAATTTAATTTGTTATTGATGAATAACTGATTAATCCATGAATTGTCACACAAAATGCACTGTTTATTTAGTACTATTACTCAATACACTTGTATTCGGAGAATAAATAAGTTCTGTTAAAAATATGGATAATAATTAATTAAAAATGAATTAATTTTTGCTCTATACTTACTTGATCACCAAAAATTATTCTTGCATAAAAAACAATGCAGTTGAGATAAAAAATTACTAAAATGTTTCATTCTAATCATGATGAGCTAATTAATGAAGTAGTAATTAGTTACCATACCTTATTATAATGAACTGAATTTCAACTTTCTAACTTTTTTACTCTCCAAAATTGAAGTTTATCTACTCTTCTTATTTTTGACAATACAACAGTCAGATGCCTAGGAAGTATATATAATGTGAAAATAATATTTATAACAGAAATATGATATCAAATACCGTAATTTTTTAATTGCTTATATATTTCTTGTCATTTTTTCGTTTTACCATAATATAGATGATATTTTTCTTGCTGCATTGTTAGCTTCTGTGGTTAAATGCGTGTGTCGAACAAATTTGCTGCAAGAAAATAAATCTAAATAAATAATAAACTTGAAAATAAATCTATCTGCTGAAATTTAGTGTAACATATTAGTGGCTTTGCCAAAAAAATTCACTACATACATTGTGTAGCAATTGTATGATTGATTTAAGGGTCGTGATGCTGAATTTCTTTTGCTATTATTTGCAAGCTTTTTATGATTGGGGTTTTTTACTTTCTTTGCATATATTTGATTATCTAAGAGCCAATCCTTATATACCGTAACATTTCACGTTCTAGATCAATCCTATAATTAGTTGACGATTGGTAGTATATAATACTTTCTTTATCAGTTTGTGAATTAAACACTAGATGATATAAATATATTTTGCACAGTTTTTGTATAAAATAAATATGTACTCAAAAATATTTATGCGTGTCTTTGATACACTTTTCATTTTTTTTAAAGCTGCCTAATTATCGATTTCAAATACTGCAGAATTATATCCAAGTATGAATTGACAAATATTCATTATTGATTCAGATTGACTGCAGCATTATAATTTTTACATTATCTTTAATGCTGCAGTTATTAAATTATCTTCAAAAATTATATAATCTCTGCAACTAGAGCAAACGTAATAAAATCAAAAAGTAACTTCATCATGTTTAGCTACAATCCAAAATTTTATATGAAAGGCAAATAGTTTATTACTGAAACTTTAGAAAAAGATGTTGATTGATTCCAAGTTTACTAAACGTTTATTTTAACTTATCTACTGAAGGAAAATTTTTACAGAATCTTTGCACAGCTTAATCCAAAAGTTCGTTATAAAACTTTGAGATTTATGCCTTCTGGTTGCATAATATGTTTCATGATGCTCTCATTCATTCGTTTTGTTGTGATTCAGTAGAAGACAATGCTCTCTTTTATTTCGGAACTACATTTTATTTAAATAGTTCATTCAAAAATATCTCACTTTACCGACACCCATTTTTTCTATGAGACATTCATAATGTGTATTTAACTGATATTTGAATTCGTAGTCCTAAAACTTTTGGATAAAATATTTTCTTCCGTAGCTTTTATGGAAGTTTCGATCGATCGAATGAAATTTAATTTTATAGAAGCCAAGTAGTTGTTTACAAGTTTATTTGCTTTATGGAAAATTTGATGCACAATAGTTACTGCCTAAATATATTCAGTGCATATACTAATAATGAATGAATTACAAAAGGGATTTTATGATTATCAACTATGAGTAGTTTTTGACAAATCAAACACATCTATTGACAACACCTCATCTTCGTATTCAGCTCTTTCTATTCAGTTGCTGTTGTTGTCTTGTCTTCTTTTTATATCAAATTACCTGCAAGTATTCAGTTGCATTGTACACGAATCGTTTGCATCGATTTTATCACTTTTCCAGTGCAAAGCTGTGATTGATCTCCATTAAAACCTAAAATAAAGATCGATAGGAATAGTTGTGAAAGAAAATGCATGTGAATATAAAGAAAACACTGAAGATAAAGCTGGAAATCGACTATTTCCTACATTTTTTACTACGACATTTTTTACACTTTTTTAAAAAAAATCAGTTGTTTTTTAAATAATTTCTCTGTGTCCTTGTAGTCACTTTTTCACCATGAATTCTTATATTCTGGCAAGTAAAAAAGTAAGGAACAAGGAATAAAAAGGGTTGGACTTTGAAAACAAAGGTGGAACAGAGTAGTGAGCGAAAATAATGTCACTCGCTGATTAACTTAGCAAGCAGCGTTTTATTTAAATAGTAACTTTTAATGAAAGGGTTTGCAAGTTTACTCGAATTTTTTGACTTTTCAAGTATTTAGCACTGATGGGATATGATTATGTAAAGATGAAACAATTTTGAGATGATATCTTACATTGACAAAGAAAAAAGTTGAGAATCGTCCTTGATTGACCAGTACAGTGGTGGTAAATCATTGTCCTATACTGTGTTAAATAATGTCTTTCTTACTTCTCTATTTTCATAATCTTATATATTGTCTTAAATATACTGTCTGTCTTAATCGCCTTTAATGCTATAAGTATTACAGTTATAATTATTACAATCATTGTTGTAATTATTATTATCGTTTTTCTTATCATTTTTATTTATTTTGCCTATAGTTACTGAATAAAATTTGTTTTACCACAACTTCTATATCTTTACAACTGTATTCAATCTTATTTTGGTTGTTTCCATTATATCCTTTAAAATCTTTATTTCAAAGGATGCAAAGAAGCACTAAGAGATTTTTAACTACAATAATATTTCACTTAAAAGCTTTTAAATTTTGCTGGAAAGTAAAAACGTAGTTGAACGTTGGTTTTAATATTCATAAGAACCAATAGATTGCTAACTACACGATGTACCGTTTTTCACTATCCTTCTTGACAGCGATTTCTGTCATTACAATCTGCTCAATCTTGCGTTCTAAAGCATGGATCTTGTTGGCATATTTGGTGAGTTGATCTTTGATTATATGCCAAAGTATTCAATACAAATAATGTAAAAAATAACGAACCATCTGATATATTCTTTAAATAATTGAGTTCCTAAATTCAGCACTTTTGGCTGTTATCTAGAGAAATTATTTATTAAAATTTACGGTTTTTTCTCTTTTCTCGTCTTATATCAAGAAAACACATTTTAAAATGTTTGAAGTTTCTATATTACGTACAAAAAATTCAGCCTGGCTATTTCAGCCAATATCAGTATCACTTCTACCACTTATTTTAATTTACATTTTTTACGACTGTTACTGGAAAAGGCGAAATCTTCCACCAGGTCCAATGCCATGGCTAATTTTGGGCAATATTTTTTATTTTTTGTTTTACAAATCAGTCGATGACATGTTTCTTGCTTGGAAACAGAAGTATGGTAGGTTCTATCGAATCAACTACTTTAGATTTGTATGCTTTGAATAAATTAAGATTGCTTCTCATCACTGCATAAAAGAGTTCAATTATATACTTTTTTCTGCATATTTTAATTGAATTCTATTTACTGTATATGTTTTTACATACTTCATAAAATTTTACTCATAAAATAAGCAAGTTGTAAAGATCTTTGTCAATTACTTTGTCAGTGTTTAATAGAAATTTTGAATTATTGGAAATTGAAAAAAAACTGTATTATTTCTTAGTAATGAAAAAAGTACTATTAGCATTCACGATATAATGAAGGATCAGAATCTAAAATTCAGGTAGTTTGATTACATTTTGGGTAGGACCAATACCCATGATAATAGTTTCTGACGTGGAAACAATGCGTGAATATTTTGTGCGCAATGCAGAGCATTTTAGTAATCGATGGCCAAATTATGCATCGCATTTTTTTTTGGGTATTGAACAATTTGTGCTCTTTTAATTAGCTTTTGAAACTTAATAAATGCAGAAAGTTCTACTGCATTAAATATTCCAAATTTAACTCCAACGACTTTCCTTAGTTTTTATTTTTAATTCATGAATTTAAAACTAAGATTAAAAGAAAATCATCAACAGTATCGATTAAATTTTTTTCACGAGATTTCGTATAAATAATTTTGATTTTCGCTGGATATTGTTTTTTTGCATAGAGAATTATAAAATATTTTATATTAATGGACTGTTATACTGTTTCGAATAAGCGTGAAATTGAAGGTGGTGAAAATGGTGTGATTCATATTGACGGTGAAAAGTGGAAGCAGCAAAGACGTTTTGCACTACGTGTTTTTCGCGATTTTGGTGTTGGTAGAACAATAATAGAGGAACGAATTATGAAAGAAGTTGACTTTCTTATAAATTATTTGGAGGAAAAATGTACTGAGCAAGAGATTGATTTAAATTCAATGCATGCCATTTGTGTGGGCAATATTATCACTAGTATCTTGTTCGGTTATCGTTTTCCACAGGTAAGATTGTATTAATAAAATGTCAATATTTTATTACATAGCAAAATCACCAGTTATATTCAATTTCCATAATAATAAAGCCAAGTTTTTGAACAGGAAAAAAAAAACTTGAAATGTTTTTCAAATGAAAACTTCAGGATTGGAATTTAAATTTTCTTTTCAAGGGTAGTGCAGAATTCAAGCTCATCAATTCCATAATAAGTTCTCAATCTCAAATGGTAATGCATCCATTGATGGCTTTATACATCATCTTGCCATCAACCACACATATACCAGTCATTAATTATGTCTGGAAAAATTTTGAAAATTTCCGAAATAGACTTTGGAAATTTGTTTTTGAAGAAGTGCAGGTACAACAAGTTAATTGTTTATACATTTTTTTAAAATTTGAGTAAGGTTTTATTTTTATCTTCCTCTTTCCGATTCAGTTTCTATGTATTTTCATTTTTTTTTCCACTTTTATTTCAGTACTTAGTTTTTCTGTGTCTTTATTTATTCACATATTTACAATTTTCTAGAAACACAAAGAAATACATAGCAGTGAAGAACAGCTTCCCGAAGTGATGGATTTCACTCACTCCTATTTGTCGGAAATTGAACGTAGGAAAGCAGTCGGTGAAGGCATTCAGTATTTCGAGTAATTTTAGTTCAGCCTATCTCATAACTAAAATTATAATTGAATAATGCTGATTTCGCCTTTCATTCATCAGTTTTTGATTTAGTAAAATCAAAAACTTGTTGCTAAATTTTGACGTTTAAAAAAAGTTTTGCTAAAAGCAACAAATTCTTCAGAGCAAAAATTTTTTGAAATTGTCGCTGTTGCTGTTATAACTGTAGTTAAACGTCGCAACAATAAGAGTTTGTAATCACAATAATTGAAGCAACACTTTCATTAACGTCTGATCTTGAAACAACAGTTTGTATAATTTTTGTAATTTTATTTTTTGCAGTGAATGGCAGTTATCAATGCTTCTGTTGGATTTGTTTTTTGCTGGAATGGAAACAACAACCACAACATTAAAATGGGGATTCCTTCTAACAATGATTCATCCTGATGTTCAAACAAAAGTTCAAAATGAATTAGATCAAATCGGAGAGAGGATCACACTTGCTGATAAATCAAACTGTCCTTACACAGTGGCAACTCTTCATGTTAGCTATTCAGTTTGATATTATTCAGTTATTTTTGATTTTGAAAACTGATCTTATTTGACTAACTCACTGCATCACATAATTTCATTGAAATGACTTTTATTTTCAGCAAACTCTAAAGATGGAAAAAGCAATATTTTATCTCAAATTCAAATAAAATGGTACAAAAAACAAATTATTTCAGTAAATTTAAAAAAGTTACCAAATTCTGATATGATTATTAAGTCTTCAATTACAATGTAATTTAAATTTACCTTTTTAAATACCAATCACAGTTTTATTTGTTTTTTTTTAGCAATTATTGTTTTTTTAATAGGAAATTCAACGTGTGGCAAATATTTTAACTTTCAACTTATTGCACACAACAGCTGACAATGTTGTTGTGGGGAAGTATTTTTATCCAGCAGGAACAATTTGTATTCCACAAATCTCCATTGCTTTAAATGACCCAGTGAACTTTCCTAAGCCACATGAATTCTGTCCTGAACGTTTTTTAGAATCTGATGGAATTACTTTGAAGAAGTGAGATTTCGTTTAGTTCAGCAAATTAAAGTAATTAGCTGCTAAATCTTGTTAACTTCTCATTTCTTTTAACGAATAATTCAGTAACTGCATAAAGCAAACATCACCTAAAACTTGATGTGCATCTTGATTAATTTGGCATGTTACGAAAGATTCAAAGACTTAAAATTTTGTAATTCAGATTTTTTAAGTAATATGAAAAGGAAGAATTGTACAAAACAATCATGGTTCATGGAAAATTTTCTTAAGATACGATGCATTTATACCATTTTCTATTGGCAAGCGACAGTGCTTGGGTGAATCGTTGGCAAAAGCTGAGTTGTTCCTTATTTATGCGAACTTAATGAGACATTTTCAACTTCATACTACGCTGAACAATCCAAACCCGTCAACAAAACGAATTTTTGGCCTGACCGTTTCACCACCACCATTCAAATGCCATGTGAAAAAAAGAACCAGTGATTTTATGAAATAATTTGTGCAAGAAACATTATTTTTAGGCAAGGAATGAAAAGTTTAAGAAGCAACTGCGATTCCAAATATATTAAGAAAGTAAGGAATTCACAAAGAATTTTACATTATAAATAAATGCTCAGATTTTGATATTTCAATATGAAAAAAATAATTAAGAGAATAAAATTATTATTGATTGTTTTTTGCTTCAGACATTATTTGAAACTTGCTCGTGCTGTGGATTTTTTGACTAGGTTCTAGTCATACATTTCTATAAAAATCTTGATTAATAGGCAGGTTTTATTAGTTGCATGTATTTTGTTACTGCATTCTTCACAGCGTTATAATTTTTGAACTTTCAATGCATTACTCAAGAAGGCAAAAAAGATCCTTATAAACGCAAAAAAAAGTGAAAGTAAATAATGGTGAGAATGATAGAAAATTATGACTGAAATACTGATATATGTAAATCATAATCATTTGTTGTTGACATGATATAGAAATTTAGTATGTTTGATTTGTTTTGATATAATACAGAATGAAAAGACAGAATATCACCTTTTTTACAGAAAAGTTTTGTTTTTTCACTGCACTTGCGAACTTGCAAAATGTTACAAGTAGTTAATATTTATTTACAGATGAGTGGATAGAAATGGAAGTTTGTATAGAGTTGCAAAGATGTGTAATATTAGAATTTTTCTTTTCTCAAAAATATTTAGATTTCTGCTTTTTTGGAGGTTGGAGATTAAAATTGCTACAACTTTTATTTGGCTTCTGAAAGCTATCATATAATAATAATTTTTAAATGCTTACAGTAAAATGAAATGAGTAATAAATACGATAAGGGTAGAATGAGTATAAGTAATGATCTGCATGAAGATTTAGTAGTAAATAAATAATGAAGTTTTTCACTTTTAATTTGTTCATCAATCAAGTAGTTCCGAGATGAACCAAAAAAAGTCTACGATAATTTCGATTTTAAGACCATGTTAGGGATTTTTTTAATTTCGATTTTTTAAAGATATTATTTTTTCACTTTACTCTCATTTCAAAGTTACAAGTTTGTTGAATGAATGAAAGAATTCAGAGTCTTGTCAATTATAACCCTAACATAATGCAGCCAATGCTTATCTACAAGTCAAAGTAACCAGAAAGAATTATACCTGTATTTTGTACGAATTGACTTCTCGTAAAAGGCTGCATTATTTGACGCAGAGATGGTAAAAATCATAGGTGCTTAAAAGTTAAAGTAAACAAAATCTTCAGAAGCTATTCGAACCTATATGCAAGTAATTGATTGAGAAATATTAGAAGTGCAATCATTCAAAGTTGAAAAACGACTCTATAAAGGCCGAAAATCATTTCATTTGCTTGTGTGGTTCTTGATACTAAAGATTGAATAACTTCAGATGAAATCAGTAAAATTAAAATAATAGTGCGGATCCCACAATGTGCATATATTATTGCACCAAAATGACTAGAATAGGATAGGACACATATTTTAAACTACAAAAAAATTTTCTCGTAAGAGACTGATAAAATAAATAATAAATGATGAGTAATGAGCAGGCTATCAAGGTTATTTATCCATAATCAGCTTTAGAAGGAATCACTTTCAAGTAAGAATATATATTTTAAGCTTAGTTCAAAGGTTGCTGCAGAAAGAAGTACCGACCAGTGAAGAGGCAGAAGAAACAGCTAATATACAGTAATGCGAACAGGGACCTTAAGTGATATTTAATATGCCGACCCATGACAGTATAACTTCGCTTATTTTTTCTATATCTAGGAAGCATTATGATTTTATGATATTCCGCTTCTGTTCTCATTTTTTAAGCTTTTCTTACGAGAAAGGTCGGTGCAAAGTATTGCTGATTATTATTAAATGCTTATGAACTTGACTAGATATTGCACATTACTGACTTATTTTTACCCATGAACAACTACTATAAAAAATACTTTTATTTAGAGTGAAGGATAAATTGGACAATAATTATTACTAAAAAATAAAAATTTTCAAACTTTACTCAAAATTTTATGAAGTGAGAATTTTGTTGATTCATTATATTTAAACTGTATATTTGAAATAATAAAATTTGCTCTGTACAAAATGAGTTTCATTTTTTCAAAGCTATGGTTAAGAACTATTAGTTAAGATATCACAAACATGACTTTGGAAAGCATTGCCCCAAAAAGTTGAGCAAGGAAATTTTTTTTAGTTCAGCTGACAATCAAATAACAAGTTAAAGTTGGTAGCAAAAATTTATACAGTTAATTGAATTGTCTAATTTTTTGGAGTCAAATGCAAATCTTTTAGCATTATGAAAATTTTGTTGCAAATACCGAATCACTTGCAGTAGCATTCATTCCACCTCACTTTTATTCTGTCACTCTTCAGTTCTGTTTATTAGGGTCTGCAACATTTACGATTTATGTTTAGCATATGTTCTGGTAATTAATCTCAGGTATGCACGTCCTTTTTTCTTTTTCAACGCGACATTTATCATTTAACGATATTTAGATTTTAGCTCAGTGAAATTCGCAGCAAAATTGCTTTAGCAAGAATATTTTATAATATATTAAGATTTCTCATACAAATTAGCAAATTTTAACTTGATAATTCAAGATCATTAAACTTTTACTAAAGTGAATTTCATAAGGTTTTTAGTTTTTAGAGAATTTGGAAATCTTTTGTTTTTCATAAAAAATGCTAAATAAAATATTGGATTTTCAAGGGACACAATGCGTCATTTTATTTTTGTAATCCTTGAGCTTTTGTCAAATATTAAAACTGTTTAAGAATAGGCACAGATTTCTTTTTAAACTCAAATTATCTTCCATTTCGAGATGTTGATGGCTAGATAAATACTTTCATTTAGCAATTATTATTAACATATATGATGATAGTCTATTATTTGCTACAAACACTCATTTTTTGAAAAATATCCATCTAAGAAGAGATCTTCAGAGAAAGGTTATGTAAAATAATTTTTAAGAAATTTTTTACATATAGGCATCGAAAGGTTGACCAAGATGTTGTCGATTAAAAAGAAATTTATTTTTCTGTATCCAAATATTCTTGTTCCATAGATGAGACATCACAAAATGACAAATGGAATTCACACGCAGTGTCATCGGCGCATCAGGTTAATTTAAAGCAATAAATCTTACATATTCAATAAATAGAGTAGATGAGTAAATAAGTTATCGTTGCAGAAAAAAAAGCATAAAGTAGAGTTAAGCTTACCTGAAAGAAATGGTGTATTCAGTTGACTCAACAAGAATTTTTCCCCATGAAATTGAAACGAAAAAGTCATTCATATTTCATCCCTCGCCAGATCAAAGGTGAAAAATGGGTGGATAAATAAATTAATGTATGTTATCTATGCATCCGCTGTTGATACTATTAGCTGTTTTATTGCTTAACTACTAGAATTAATGCTTTCTTTCTTTTGCACTTTCGTTTCATGCTGCTGAGGTTATACTTGAACGCAATTTCTCTCAGCTTAAACAACAAATAACTTTTCTCTATCTCTTTCACTATTTCCTTATCTTTATGAGAGGGGCGGAGTACAGTAGTTAGATTTCTTTCGAGACTAAAAAGTTGCTGGATTAAGTGGAGGTAAGTTTCAGAGGTCTTAGGAACAGTTGGTCTCAAGTCAGTTGTTTGGCAGTGAAGCTTTTTGTTGTATTGCAAGGTAGCAGCTGTCTCGGTGTGGAATTTCGAGAAATTCCGAAACTTTTATTATCCTGAATTTTCACGAGTTTCATCCTTCTGCTATCCACACTTTGCGCCATTTGTTGGAGTGGAAAAAGCAAGTTTATCTGGAGCGATTTATTTCTCTGAGGTTGAAAGCATCTGGGAAATAATTTACTCTGAAAGGTAAGTAAATAAATACATAAGTTATTAAGCAAGTAAGTAAATAAGTAAACTTCACTAATAGGAATATAAGCAAATGACGACGAAAATGACGTTTGAATGGTTGTTTTAATCTAAATGATTTGACTTAGACAGAGGCAGCTATTTTATTTTCTGAAAACTTAACGCATAACATACAGATGGAATTGAAGCATAGCATATGATCAGAACAGTTGCTTTGCCTTTAACCACGCGATTCGTCAGCAATTGACCATGAAACAACATGTGTGCCCGAAGGTGAAACTTTTCATCACATGGTATACACGTACGGCTGCTACATCATCTGTTGCCACAGATGGCGTAGCTTAGCAACTGCCAAGTCCTGATTCCTTCCAGTAAAGTTTTAGCGCAGCTTAGGTTTAACGACTACCTTTTCTCCTGCTCCACTCTTGAAGCTGGAATACTTGCTTTCAAAGCTGTTTTCCTTTGACCTTTCGTTTCACACAATAATATGACGTCCTTAAAAGTTGGGTTAAGAATTGCTCAAACTCACTATTCTATATACATTAACAAAATTGAAATTGTTAACGCTGAAGCAGACATTGACAAATTTTTGCGCTATTGGTTAGTTTATTAATATTTTACTCTTAAATATCAAACGCCATTTAGTCGAACGCACAATATGTAGATCATATTAATGGAAGGTTTGTCTTTAATTAATATACACTTCTGTGTAGTTATGTGACAGATAATTATAAATCGTTACTTTTTATTTTTGAAAAATATTTCTGACTGAATGAATTAGTTCGTTTGGTGATTTTAGTTTTTTCTAACTTTCGAAAACAGATTTTATTTTTTATCAAAAAAGGAAGTAAAATAGTTACAAAAGTTTCTTTTTCTAATAATTTTTAGGAATTTTAGATGAATCCAGATGGATGCCAATATGACCCCTTATATGGTTATACTCAACCTCAAGCAAGACTTACAACAGCACCAGATATTACAACTTTAACACCTTTCGCACCTCAAGCAGCTCCTCTTGGAGAATATTCATCTGCACATGCCCTTTCCACTTATGACCCATATAGGTCGGCTTCCCTTTATTATACTCAAGCTTTTTTATTACACTATTGTAATGTCGATTTACTTGGAATCCTAACAGTCTTTAAGCTCTCGTTTTCAGTTTTGATTTAAAATCCTTAACACAAACAGACTTATATTTAAAAACTTTATTAAGTTTGAGTGAGAAGTGTGAACTACACTTTTGATATTCATCACAAAAAATAAGCCCTTAAACAAATTTAACAAGCGAAAAATTGATAACAATTAAATTTTAGCATGATTTTTGGCACATAATGATCTGAGATTTCATTGCAGAACAAACTTTGCTTGATTGTAGATATCCATCTTATTATCCGTCTTATGGTCCAGCTACTGGTTCGACTTCTTTTTATACTACAGATTTGACTTTTTCAACAAGTCGTAGTAATGCAGATTTCCCGAAACCAGCTCGGCCTGATGCTATAATTGCTAAAGATATCAAGCAAGAACATGAAGCCAAGGAACAAAGTCTGTGTTTTTCTTTATTTATAGGCAAAGACTAACGAATAATAATCAGTGATGAGTAATTCTTTTGCTGTACTCTTTTTTCAAACTGAAACAAAAAATATGAAGTGAGAAGCCATGATATCTTTCAATTTTTGAATTTTCTTGAAGTTTACAGCAGTATTAGCTTTGATAATGCAAAATGTTTATTGAAAATTTGGAAAATTTATGTCAGTAAGCAATAAAAGTCGAACATTGTTTATAGTAATGTTGATCTTTCTAATTCCACTTACCAAACAACGAAAATCAAATTTTGACCACAGTTTTGAAACTGATGGATATCTTTTCATGGTATTGATTCATTTAAATAATAAGTTTTAGTTTGCAAAAAAATTTTGAGTACCAACTTGTTTCCAAAAAACAGCATTAAGTAAAGTTTGCTGAATATTTTTTTATTCAAAGACCAGGATTGCATTGGGAAAAAATGAATTCCTTAGAATTGCCTTCTATCTAATGGTGGCTAGTTTTTTTTCATATTTTTCAATCCAAGAGTAACTATTTTTGCAATAATTTTTCACAAAAGAACAATTTTTGACAACATAGACAATTAGTTAGAAATTAATGAAATGAAAGAATAATGAAAACAAAGTTGTAGATAATAACAATACATTAATAGTCAGTAGTACATGACTAGTACACTGAAAAAAGGTTTTTTCCATTCACTTTCCAACTGCTGAAATATAACGCCAGAAAAATTTTAGCAGTGGAACTGATTTCGGCAGCTGGTGGTTCGAGTGGAGATATCCCAGAACCACATTCTGAATTAATTCAAACTAGTTCAGATGCTACAAGCACCCAAAACGTTGTGCAACAACATACTGAGTCTTCACAAGTACCACGAAGATGTAAATTTTAAAGAACATTTTAAAGCTCAAAATTAGTACTAAAAAACTATAAATTATTTTTGTTGCAAAGCTTAATGCATACAAAGTTTGTCCTAAAGCACTTATATTTGCATTCTTCATTAGTATCATATGATGCTATTAATTGATGTAATTTATTTGTTTACAAATTTTTGCAGTTTAGAAATAAGTGACCAATGGTTAATCATTTAACCATTACATTTGTTATCATTAATATTTATCGTATTGATTTTTTCTTATTTAATTAGCTTATTTCTTAAATTATACAACTGCAGTAGATAGAAGGAAAGCAGCTACAATGCGTGAAAGACGGCGATTACGTAAGGTGAATGAAGCATTTGAAGTTGTAAAACAGCGGACATGTCCTAATCCAAATCAGAGATTACCAAAGGTATCAGACGTCTTTCTTTTTCTGCTTTTTTTTGCAATACCAATTCATATGGTCAGAAAATCTTCATTATGATTAATTTAATAAAACTGCAGTTATTTAGGTTGAAATTTTGAGAAGTGCAATTGAATATATTACGAAGTTGGAAAATATGTTACAAAGTCAAGGAAAAATGACAAAAATTATGGCAGCTAATCAGGGAATTCATTTGCCGGATACCGATGGTCAAGATTATGTTGTAAGCAAGTTTTAATTTCTCTTTCAGTCTGAAAAGTTGAAAACTTAAAGTTTGAGTTTTATATTATTTGAATCTTCTGAAAAATAGAACTTGACTTGTTTAAGATGTAAGAGTGAATCTGCTTTTTAATCAATTCTGTATCATAAAATATTGCATCATTTCCACTCAGCTCTAATACTTTTAAGCAAAATTACTACCACAAGAAATGAATCGTGCTTATTTGAGATGACCGGCATAAGCCTTCCATGATATTCGTTTTTTTTTATTGCAGCAGAAACTCTGAATATTTAGTTTCTTTGAACTCTAATTATATTTTTAATATAGATAACTTCCAAAGCTAACTTTGATTATTAATTTACTTTTATTAAAATGAAGCTGTTCAGAATATTAAGTATTTTTTCAAATAAATTTCACAACAAAACCATTTTTAAATTATCTATTTGATTAATTATAAACGAATTTCGTAAATTTCACCAACAGTTTTGCTCATAGCAATGTCATAATCCAATTATTGGGTCAACCATCCTCGACTCTAGATAATTAAATATTTGTTTAGTAATTAGTGGCTTCCTTACTACAGTTGCTTACTGAAAAAAAATCGTAAGAATTAAATACTAAAGATTTGAAAGCACTATTAATCAAGTGTAAAAAAGTTATCTATTGAAAAATTTTTTAAAAATGCAAAAAAATGAACTTTAAAATTCAAAAAATTCAAATAGAATTAACTTAAGTTTTACATAAATTTCAATACTTCATTTTTATTACGCATTGTAATCCTTTTCTGGATTATAAAATAATCCGAAGAAGGATTTATATATGCAACAAAGAGTTGCTTACTGGGAAAATTGAAAGTAGATCTACAAACTTGATCTCAGAATTAATGATAGAAAAATGAAGTATTGAAATATCAATTAGCTACTGTAAAAGTAAACTGTTTGTCATGTCTGCCAAATACTATTAATATAAGATTTACAACCTCGGCGTCAACAGCTGTGATTGTAATATAAAAGTGATTTATTTTGCAAAGATTTATGCAATATAAGATGAGAAACTTTTTTTACGCTTTCTCAACATTTTTTAGTCAGTTTCCAACTTCATCACATAAATTTTGCTTTATAGTGGGAATGAGTGTTAGTTAGCTCCTTGTGCCGCATGAAACATATTTGAAAAATTTTGCACCTTTGCAGCGATGATTTTATCAAAATATGCATAATATTAGTTTTTTTTCCAAACGGTAAATTTACCTTAATTTTTACTAAAGATGTCAATTAAATTGGACTTGTTGAATTCTCTTCCAAACATACTGCTAAAATGTGCTCGAAAATAGTGATTTACTTTTATTCAAAAGTGATATTTTGTTCTGAATATAATAATTAAAAATGTAATGCATCTTGTTAGTGTTACAAATAATTTAAATAAGCAAGTAAATGAAAAGGGAAGAACTTAAGGAAGTGAACAAATACTTCTTAAGTGTTTTGAACAAATTATTTATACTAACTAAATCATTAGTATGTAATCACTGATTTCAGTCTATGCACAATACGCCTAATAATGGATCTGCCGTCGCTTATTATGACAACAAATTAAGAACATTTCCTGAAGAAAGTGAAGATTTCCGAGGTGTTAGTGCCGGCGAAAGTTCGCATGAAGCAAGTCAGATTCAGCGATTGAAAGCAATGCTATAAGTTATATAAAATGTTTTTAGCTTCAAATTCCTGAGATCTTTTCAAATGGATAAAAATTAATGATGTGAAGGATTTTTTCAAAGTTGTGATAGCTTGTTTTTTCTAGTCGACCACTAACTATCGTTCTGGCTAACTTACTTTCTCTTTTTACAGAAGAGTGAATTCCAAAAAAAAGTTAAAAAAGTTAGGCATTCAAATTATTGGTTTAAAATTGTTTAAATCACTAAAGTAATATCATTTTCCAATTCATCTTGCATTGTTCTCTAAAATCTCTTTTCATTCCTCCAGTCTCTTTTTATTTTTACGATAAGAGCCTGCAGTGTTTTATATTTTTAAGCCTTTTGAGTCCTAGTATTTTTTCTTTCAGTTGGATATTCTTAATTTTATAATATCTTGATAATGGCGTGAAGCAAACTATTTTAAAAATTCTTTTGTTGTTCAAGGATGTAAATTTATCAAAGAAAACACTCAATAAAAATACAATTAGTTTGAATTAAATACCTTTCAAGTTCAGACATAAAGCAATGAGGGACAAAATCATCACATTTTCGATATTCAGAAGCATTTAAAGGCTTAAAAATTATATTATATATATTTCTTGGTACTATTTCATGCAGTTACTATTGGTTAATTTAGCTACAAATCAATATATGTCGCTATCTCATTTTTTCAGTTGAACATTATAAGTATAATAAAGTATATTATTTAAGTGAAAAATAACTCAATAAATATTGCTTCTAATTGTAACTAACTTGCTTTTCACATGAAGTAATCAAATTTTCGTTATTACTACTTTTATTATCACTATTATTATTATTTCTTATTTTTTCCCTATTAATATCATCATCATTACTTTATAAAATGAAAGCATTCACTTACAAACATATTATTTTTCCTTCTTGTAATATTAACACTATAATCCATCATCATTATTATTATCAATATTATCGTTGTTATAAGTGTCGAAATTGTTTATTTCAAGTATAGACATTCTAATTTTAATCTACTTTCATTATTTTCGCTTCTGTCAGCATTAACTTGCATGATTTACTGATTATTATTGTTTCCACATTAATGAGACTGAAAATTGTTATAAAATAGCGGCCAGCCATTGCTCATTTCGTGAAAAGTGTAAAATTTAGGGATATTTCCAACCATAAGCCAATAGATGAATGGTGTGCTAACGTTTGGTGTACTGTAGCTAATGTCGGTATAAATTGAGCCTGAGTCATCCAATGATTGATGAGTTATCCACTGATTGGTTATTCATTATACATTCGTTCTCCTCTTCAGTTCCTCAATAACTACTTCAAGATCAATCTTTTGAAAGAAGCTTTAGATGAAATCAACTCTTAGAATAAATAAAAAATAAGAAGTCAATAAGTATGTTTGTGTTGCTGTATAAATTGCAGAATGTGTAAATTGAGCATATGATCTTCGACTTTAATGAAACACTTGAGCTTTTTTTACTCTAAGGAAAATGTTAAAAATAGGTAATTTGAAATAGAATAATGAAAGACAATAGTACTGTGTCGAAAACGATCGGAAAGAGAAAAATGGTGTAATAATGTGCGTCAGTTGTTGCAAAGTTTTGTTGAAAGCTACTCCATTCTGAATATTTTTGCTGATATATTTAACAAGAATAAGCAAATCAATCTTTGCAAAAGAGTTAAATTGGTTTTTGAATGATGATAGAGTCTCACAAAGTTTTTTGCTCGCTTTAAATCTTTTTATTTTTCATCGTTATTTGTAATGAGAATACAATAGGAGATAATTTCCAGTGTTGGAGCCAATGTCGAATGAATATCAATTTTTAGATATTCAAAAAAACAAAAATAAAGACAAGCTTATTAAATTGCAATTTTTTACCATTTTTTAAAAGGTTGTATTCAGTGAAAGTTTTTGTTTTTACATGATGATATGCGAGTGAGTTTCAGGGAGAACATCGAACAAGAAAAGTTCCTTAGAAAGATTATCAAGAATTGTGGATAGTATAGCAGCTGATGAAGATGAAGAAGGAGTTGAAGGTTCCGGAAGTGAACATTCAACTGTATGATATTTGTCTTTCTCTTGCATAGTGCTCAAGTATTTGGCTTAGGAAGGCATGAAAGTAAATCTAAGTTTAATTTGAAAATTTATTCTCGGCCTAAAAATTCTAACTTGGATAAATCCTTATAATGCAGCTTCATTCAAATGCTCTCAAAAAGTTTCGGATTTCTTGTAAAAACTTTAGAAGACATTTCATGAGGGCTTGTTTCAAATAAACCACAGACTAATATTAATTTCAATTTACACAAAAAAATTTTACAATAATACTTTGATATTTCGTTGTTCATTACAGTCCATCAAGTACATTTGTTTTAATACAGCTGTATAATTACTACTGAAAATAATTTCATTATTTAAAACGCAATTTTTGACTTTGTAGCTCATGATTATTAATAATTTCATTTTTTTGAAACTTTGTTATGAAGTGGAGTATATAAAATATCACTTCATAAGATGCGTAAGCAAAATTACAACTATGCTATGCATAATTGCTTTGGTCTGACTGAGTTTACGTGTTTTTTTTTCTAAACAGAATAAGTGCAAAAAACTCAAAGAAGCTGCAATATTTTACTCACAATATACAAAAACTAAGATCAAGTCAAAACTAAATGATAAATCTTGCTAATAATAAACAGTAACCGTATTCATCTAGATAATATCTTGTCAATGTGTTATTCGAACTAAACACACTGCATTTATTATAATTTCTGCGTCATTCTATTTTGAACTCTTCATAATATTTTATCGAAAATTTTTGCACATTATGAGATATATTCATGTTAGCAAATATGATAATTTGTGTGCATTTTATGAAGAATAAAAATTCAATTGTATTCATATTTTTGTCTAAAAAAGGTGCATTCTCATCCCATAATACATTTTTGTTATTATAATGTTAGATATTTATTTCAGTTGTTGATTTATTTACGTTTTTAAATAGTACTTGAATTAAAGATTTCATAAAAACGAGTGAGAAGGTTGAACTGCAGTGACGGAAACAAAGAGATAATTAAAATAGATAGATAGAAAACTAAGACAAAGTTAGATTAGACATTTCAAATCAACATTGGAGAAAAACCAAACGAAGAAGAAGTAACAAACAATAGCAGGTTTCGATGTAGACTGCTCACTGATGGAAAGTAAATGAATGTTTGTGTTTGTAATGAGATATTCACAAAGTTATGCATTGATATGATTGGTATTGAAAATTTTTAAAGCACAAATTATGTAAACTGGAGCAATTTAGTTCCATCTGCAAAAATGTCATCTACAACAACAGCAACAGCAATCTGATTTAAATAATAAATAGTTTTAATTGAGAGAAATATCTAAATGCCTCAAGGGATGTGGTTTATAGATTATTTAATAACCGGATTGCAACATACACTTGGGATAATTTTTAATAAATTTATGCAATAAAAAAATCCAACAGTTAACAAGTGAAGTGATGGTAAAAAGCTAGCATTTTTGAATTCTTGGAGCTTTCTCTATTTCTTTGCTTTACCATTTTTAACTATAATTGGTAGTATACTTTGTTTGATAACCAGAATGCAGCTACATGCTCCTTTAGTCAAAAAAAGTTTCTTTAACTACTGCAACTTCCATTCGCTTCATGAAATTTAGATATTTATCAACTTTTCTGCGATATGCAAATGCCATTTGATAAATGGCTGAATTGCAAAAATCAAAAAGCAGTGAAAAGAACGAAAATGGAAGAATTATTAACTTATAAATTATTTTGAAAGATAACTAAGCACAGTTGAAATCATATCTATTAATGATAATGTTACAAGTTCCTTGTCATCCTTTTTCATATTCATTCCCTAAAGCAACTTCTTCAGTAATAAATTTACTCCACAGATAAGAGCTTTTCGTAGCATCATGATAAGCAAGTAATGAAAAAAGAATGAGATTAACGGATGAATACACATATTCGAAACACCACAGCAAACATATACTCAAGCACAAATGGCAGATATCCGCACCCAAACACATATGCGCCACTCATACACGTAACTTGATAGATAAGCCACTCAATTTAACAATTTCGCATTTTTTTTCAGTAAGTGGCATATGAATTTATTCTTAAATTAGTTCGCATGTAACAAATGCATCACTGTCATTTGTTCTACTTAATTCATTTTGATGAGGTTTTCAGTAAATTACTGAGTAGGATTTTTAAATATCTCAACCGCTTCGGAATTTTCATCGAAAATGACTCCTATTTTATAGAATTGAAATTGGTAAATTAATATAACTGCGTATATAAACAGATGAAGCTAATTTTGATGATAATAATTTCATGAAATTTGATAGAACCGTTAAGAAATTTTTTGGGACTAATTTTACAACCAAATGATTTCAACTTTTTTCCTTTCCATAATCATCATTTCGTTCTTCCATTAAACTCTCGAGCACTTCACTGAAATAATTTCTAAATTTATTCTTACAATTGTATGAAATTAAAAAGCACATAACGTATGAATTTCGCAAAAAAAAATTTTTTTAATATTATCCTTAAATTTATAGAGCGCTTGTAGACTTCAAGCAGTCTGATAAGTTATAAATTAAATGACTCGTAGAGCACAAATAACTATGAGTTAATTTTTAGAGATTGCATTTTGACAATTGATTCCAACATTGATAAATGGCAGATTCTGCGCTATCATCTGAATCAAATCATGAAATTCATTTTCAGAACATTCCAACAGCCTACAATTCGCTTTTATTGAGAGCGGTGAGTTTTTCTTTTTTTATAATTTTTGCAGTGTCCTTATTTGCTTTAATTTTGTAAGACGTTGGTTACTAAACTTTTTCCTTCATGATTTTGAAGAATCCATTTTCTCTCCATTTCGCAAAAAATCTTTTGAATTCTGAGAATGTTTGTGAAAGCAAAAGAAGAAAAATGGGTAGCTTCTATTTACACATGATAATATTAGTATCTTTGTTCACAATATGATCGACTTGAAATATTAAACTTGGTTGATAATTTTCTCACAAAACTGCAAAATCTTGAAGAATATTGCATGTTACAAGTCTGTAGATTATTTTTAAATCTAAATAACTTGGAAAATAATCTAATGGAAAAACTTGGAAAAAAAAACAATTTTTCAGAGAATTTAACTCTTCACAAAAACTTTTATAGTAAATATTTCTGCATTAAAAAATTTGTATGACTTCTAGTAAGTAAAAATATTGGTGTTTCTAGTTTCACTTTTCTGAGTATTGTGTTGCTCAAAATGCATTTTTCTTGAATGCTATACAAGTATGAAAATAAAAAAAATGTAAATTTTTGTTAATTAATTGTTCATTTTTTTAAAAATTTAGGAGAAGAGAACAAAACCAAAACTCACGGAATTAGAGTTTAATACCTTTCTTTATCTTCATATATTTACTTAACAACTAATCAGCTATATTCAAACCAACGCAATGTTATTTCAACGGTTTTGATGTGGTCGATTAGCTGAAAAGACTCAAAAAAGAACTTCCTTAAAGCTTCTGTCTAACTTTTACTCTAAGTTAACCATAAAATATTATAATTTTGTGATGTTTTTATGTGTAGAATTGCCACTTGATGAAGTAATAGAATATTTAGGAATCAAAGAAGAATTTCGTGACTTGGGAATGAGTGAAAATGTGTTATCAGAACAAATAAGTATTCAGAAAGAAAATTTTAACAATAGAAATAAAACAAAAGGAAGTATTAAAAGCAAGAGATACTTGAAAGCAGAAAATAAAAGTGAGATATGTAAGCAAAAAATTTTTTTGATAGTTTTTCGATTGCGTTCTTAAAAAACGTTTATCCTATTTCCAATTTTTTCCGTCAGTAACCGAAATAATTGTATTTGACCATTATAATCCATGAAAAAACTGCTGGTTTATCTTCATGAATCATTTTGAATAGATTTTACTTCTTCAATAAATGGAGTAGGAACATTCTAACATTCTAATTTTGAGTTGCAGTCAAATGTTGAAATATAATTTGCTTAATTTTCGTTGATCAGCATATTATTTCCATAATAAGGTATATTTTCAAGCTATGTCTGTCTTTACTTACTTCCAAGTACAAGCAATTCACACATAACTCATACTCACATTCTCTTCGAAAGTTTACTCAAAAAATAGGAAACTGCTAAACATTTAAGGTTATAATATTTTTTTATTACAATAATCCCAATTGGAATTGGCTAAAAGTCGCATTATTTTTGTGTTAATAATCTAATAATCATATATCAACAATTTGCGAAAATTTCCATTATTAGTACTTTGCTAATTTTTTCTTACTAGAACCACTCATAGATAAAAATTTCTCACAGATAGAAACTTCATGGAAAGCAGTAAATTTTTTAAGATAATGTTTGTTTTCCTCGCGTCATTTAAATATAAGATTGTATTTATGACATTGAATAATTCAGGTAACTAAACAAAAAGTCCATGAATTTAACTTCTAGCATTCAATATTTTAATCATATAAAATTTTTCTAGGTTGTATAAAAATATTTGAAATACATATGATGATGCGATGGTGTCAGAAGAATTTCAACAAATAGTCAGCCTTTTTTCTTATCAGAATTGAAAGGTAGCACTGTTCTAGGCCTACGATAGTGCTTATCATATCAATCTACCTTTGTCATGCATCGCATCGATACAACCGCAATTTTACTTAATACCGTACTCTCCATCAGTATTTACAGTTGCTAAAAATTTATCTCAAACAAAAGAGAGTAAAATAAAAAAGCTGCTGGAAGGTGCTGGAAGTCATACCTGTAATTTAACTGCTACTTCAGCAGCGCAAATCCCAGTTTGTAGGTTTTGTCAATTTTGCAAAAACTTTCATATAAGGGTTTCTTTATATTTCACTAATTTTCGGCTAGCTATATTTAATGTTCATTTTTAAACATCTAAAATGGCTAAAATTTATTCCATTCAATCGTTCTTTTGGTGCGAACCAAGTTTTAAGTGTAAATATAATTCTGTTCATTGACATCAACAACAAAGATAGCTTTTAACTAGTAATTTAAACTGCGTCGTATTTTTTTCAGTACTATTTGTCCATATTTCTGCACTTTCTACTTACTTTATATGTTTTTTTTTCAATGATTTTTCGAGCGTTTGTCTTTGTGTTATTCTTTTTAGCAAAAAAACTTGCTCGATCATACAATCCTGGAAGACCACTTGCAATGGAAAAAAGACAGAAAATTTTACAACTTTATGAAAAAGGGCATAAAATAAGCCATATTGCTCGCATTATTGGAGTAACACATAGTTGTGTTTCAAAGATCATGACAAGGTAAAATTTAACATTTTATTTTACTAATATAAAATTAAAAAAAAGAATTCAAAAATTTTTTCGAAATAGTTAATTTTATGAAAATTTTGGGTTTCATTCAAGATCATTTTTATGGAGTAGAAAAAAGTGATTTAAAAAAGTATTTTGACAAGAATGAAAAACTGAATATATCAATTACGCAGATATCGAAGAACAGGTTCGATGCAACCACGTTCGACATGTTCTATGTTGAAGAAAAATTTGAGCAGTGGAAATGAAGTCAATGTCCACTCGGTTTTAACTTGCATAAGAGACAATAATTACCAAGCATTATGTAGGAACTGTAAAGCAAATCCAACCTTTCGTAATTCAAGCAGACCAGTGAAATCTTATTTAATTCAAAGGTGAGCTAATCTTTAGCAATGAAAAAACTTTTTCCATATTTTCTATCAAAAAACAACTTTCCATACACAAATTTTAATATTCTTGCAGCTTATTATGCGATAGATAATAAAAAAACTGACGTTTTGTGGATCAGTTCATCAAGCTAAATAGATTGATAATATCCAAATATGTCTCCCATATGCAGAAAAATTATACATTGTGTATTATTGTTGCATGTATATTAATCGAATTCAAATTCAGTTTTGACTAATAAATGTAAACATTTTACAAATTAGATCTACATTTTTGCATGCGTAGTTGTGTTGCACTCTTTGAAATATATTAGCTAAAATTGTGCCAAACTAAATTTCAAACTTTAAAAACAGATTACACAATAAATGATTGTGAGATAAGGTTTTCTTGCACCTGCGCTTACTGTTTCTGAGATTGAGGTTCATGAAAACAATAGTCATCATTCATTGTAGACTTTAAGGATAATAGAAAGAATAATGGAGTAGTTTATTTTACCTTATATTACAGAATCCATTGCATGAATAATGGAAATAATTCAGTTAAGTTTTCATGCAATAAACTAAAGCTACTTCCCAAGCCACAACATGAATTTCAATACGTATAGATGGATAAATATTTTTTTTTAATAAGTTATTTGGTAGATCACTACTGATAATAGTGAATATCCAAATAAAGCAGTTACTCTTCACCTTGTTTGAATGCACATCACAACTGATAAAAAGATATTTTTGATCAGTCCAACACATGTGAATCGTGTTAATATCGTTTCCCACTATCTTGCGCCACAACTTGGAGTGCTAAAACAAATACGTAAGAATGCGTATATCTTTGCACCCTTTCATCTGAATTCAATATAAATACCCTTCTTTTAAGAAACCTATCACTTTGTAGTGCTCCTGAAATCATAGACATCCGTATCTGAAAATATAATGCAAAACTTATTTCTCTTGTTAGAAATTGACTTTTGCACTAATAAAAAGTGAAGCCGAAGTCTCGTCTACTATTTTCTATGCTGTTTCATACACAAAAAAGAATAAAAAAAGCAAGGTGTTTATTCGACTAACACAATGTACACCATATCACTAAAAAGTAAAAAATACAAAGATTATATTAAATACGAAGTACAAACAATAAAATACAGAAGATGAATGCAATAAATTTTATTAACAATTATATAGAACGCAAGTATAACACTTTGCATATACATATAACAAGAAAATATTAGGTTTCAGTTCATTTCAAGCTATTCTGAATAATCCCACAAGTGAGAACACCCATGCAGTGTAATGATCGAAGTCTTATGCATCATAAAGTGTCGCTTGCACACAAAGCAAATTAGTATGCAATCTTACATATTAATTTCAATAACATCTTGCTGGATATCTAATCTTCAACAAAAACTGTCTTAAAAAGCCAATAACAAATCAAACCAGTTTTCATTTCAAGCAACGCCTAAAATTATCGGAGACTCTCTTTCAAATGCAATTTACACCTTGGATTAAATAATACGTGTAACTACTAACAAAATAGTTCTGATGCATTTACACGTGTAAGCTTTTTCGAAAAATTTTTTCGCAATATAGATTCAAGGTCTAAGTTTTTTTGCAATATTAATCTAAGGTCTCACAAAATTACTCAAATCTCTGAAAAATTGTGAAAAATTGCAATATCCACCTTCAAATGATGATTTTTTTTGACAGAAGTGCTCTTAACGATGAATTCAATCGTTGATGATTAACTACAACTTTTGAAAATCTCAAATGAAGTGAGTAATCTATAATGAATTTGATAAAAATGTTATAATTCATTTCTGGAATCTTGACTGACCATATAAAGCGCCTGCTGAATTCTTTGCATATAGAAACTGACTCTTATCAAAAATTCGAGTGTAAAAAAACAGAATAAAGTTCTTAAAGTCACAATGAAGCTACTGAATCATGGGATTTTGAAATGATGCAAACTCGACAATACGATTACAAGCCCTAAAAATTTCTGTACCGAACTTAAAGTGCCATCTTTTCCTGCAAATTGAAAATTCATGATACAAGAGCGAACTAGTACAAAAAGCTTAAAACTATTACAACATAAAAATCAGAAAAAATGCCATGCCCGAGGAGGCACTTCGCAAGAATATTTTGCCCGCTCCGAGAAACATACCACTCAACGATAAAATGTATTTTTAAATGTAACAGGCAAACCGAAATTCCTATGAAATTTTTCTAGAAGAAAAAGATGAAAGCATTTTCACATAAATCGTTGCTTGTATTTGCACTCTTAAGATATCTGAAAATAGCTACCTCAGAGTAGTGTAGTAAATAAAGTAAATACAGAACGAAATATGAACTATATTTTATTCCCTTAATACTCATTGAAAGACGGAGGTTGTGGTGGAATTATAGGGCTGAGCAGTACACAATAAGAACATCAATAAATTTACCCCATCATGTGTGCTTCCGTCACAGGCTCAAATTTTTATGACTAGGATTCTTTGAAGCTTCTCTAAAGGTTCAAATGATTTATGGCAATGAAACAGTTCGAAATCGTTTCATTTTCATTAAAAAGCATATGAAAAATCTCTTTTTTCAAAAAAATATGCGAAATTTTTGGAGTAGTCATAATTAAAAACGACTCAAACTGGAACTTACACCAAATGAAAAAAGAAACGCGACGGCTGAAAGATATAAAATATTAAAGTAGAATATTTTAAAATGCATGCAGTTGCTATCTACTTACAGCAAAATGTTTAAAACTAAAATCTTTACTTCAAAAAGCACACAAATCCTAAAAATTTTTCTTGAAACACGATGCAATTTCAATGTAGAAAAATATCCGCATCAAATTTGTACCGCTTTCTTTTCCAAAATAATACACTATAATAGGGCTTCATGTCATATTGATTAGCTCAAAAATCTAAAGCAAATTTTTTTTGAGCTTACAGAAAAAACATGTATATAGCTGTGAATATACATACGATTGCAGCATTAATTAAATTAGCAATATATTTTACTGTACATTACAAATATGGTTCTCGAAACAGAAGCTCGGAATCAATGGAAGAGCCAGTTTTTAATTAAATTGTACTACTGACGAAAGTTAGAACAGGAGAAACAATTAAAATGCAAACTGTTCCTTGTATAAGCAGTGCACAAGGAATTGATAGTGACAAGACATATATGTTATGGTCCGTATTAACCAGAGGCACAGCTTACAGTAATTGCGACAACATCAGGTGACTAGTTGCGACAACATCAAGGGTACTCTTCTTTTTGCCTTCGTCTCTTGATTATGATTATCGAGACTTGGTTTCTCGCATGGCGGTCGTGTCCAACACCGTTCACTCGCTATATCTTTCTTGTCTGCAAGCGAGACCCCAATTCTACCTATTTAGCTTCACCCGCCTTTCGCACCCCACAAAGATCGCTGTTGACAATGGACTTGTTTATAAATACATCACCAACTACAGCTTTCGCAATTATTATAATTCGCTTTCAACCGCAATTGCGAACGCTTTCGATGTCGTTGTCAAGCAACAGTTTCAATGTCGTTGCTTACCTTTATATACTACCAGCACACAGCACAACAATATCTAAATCTTCAACTTTTAATGCCCGCAAGCAAAGTGCAACTATAAACATAATTTTTACTTCGATTTTATCAGAATTTCATCAATAATTTCCTATGCATAAATAAGTTATTTACATTAAAATGAATCAAAACAAACCAGAAGATGCAGCCATAGTTTCAGAACAAACACATAGATACAATCAAGCAAGAATCCAATATTAGATCACAAATTATCAAACAAATCTAGCTTTCAAGATTTTCCACCTATACTCTACTAATATAACGAGTGATAATGAAAGTTTTATTTCGTAAAGAAAAAGAATTTAGAAATATTTTCGGTTGCATGAGAAAAACTTTCTCTAATTATAACAGTAAAGTATTCAAAATTGACTAAAATGAAAAAACCCCATGTAACTAAGTAGTATTCAGAACAATAAAATAAAACATTGCGAAGTACTCATCTATGTGATCTAAACTGGGTGTATAAGTTAGCAGCACTTTTCAAAGACCATTTAAATAAATAAAACTGGTTTCTGCTTTGGAAAACTTTCAAGATCATTATACTCAAAATAAGACTTGAGCATATTAAGACAAAGAGAACGTTTGTGCATATTAAGAGAACTGTAGGACGAAATACTGATATCACAATCTGAAAGGAAACTATATATATACTTGTTTTACTTGAAAAAATGTAACTGCATATAGTTAATATCAGCAAAATACTAAAAACTGCATGTTCACATACCTGGGCAAATGAAATCCTTTAGCGATGAAACTTTCAGAGGGCTCTTTCCTGTCATAATGCTGATCAAAAAATTCATCGCAATATCTTCACAAATCTTGTTGCTTTCAACATAGCTAATTACTTCTGATGGCATTAAATCATGATATAGCATGCCATAAAACTGCAAAGGTTGAAATAGTGGCAGATACATTTGAAATAAAGTTTAATGCTACCAGTGAAATCAAAAAACCAACGGTATACTTTAATCGCTTATCTTTCTTCATCATAAAAAAATAGATATATTAAATTAGAAGAAAGAAGCAAACTTTGTGATAAAATGAGGCTTTCATCAAAATTACATCAACCAAATCAAACCACTCCACATTGTACTTGTATATTTTAGCAGAGTCATTGAAAACACCCATTCGTGAAAAAAATCCTACCACACGATCAGGATTTTCTCGCCACGCCTGAAACCATTTCTTACATCCAAAACATCATTTCTTAATGTTTTACAAATAATATCTTAAATAAATACTACATTTCACATTGCAACCATTAAAAATAATCTGTTCAAGGAAATAAAAATGTTTTCAAAAAGTGGTAAACCATAAGATCAAAATGAAGAAAAATAAAACTGAAAAAATATATGATGGAACTAAATTTTCACACTTTATTATACAGATGATGTGTTACACACACTAACCCTTATAACTAAAGTTTTCGCTAAAAATAGAATTCTTATGCAGTTTTTTATCAACCAATATCTTTAAATATAGTGAAAAATGAAAAATATGAAATCACTCCCAAATTTGGTCAATTTCTGAGGGCTGTATTTGCAGAATAATCAATGCAAAATCCTGATGTGAGATAACAATCAACTGCATTTAATCTTCACTTCGAATCACCTTCCCAATAACTTAAACCTTACGATGTTTGTGCTAACCAGAACAAAAACTGAAAAATACACGCGAGAGCATTTATCAAAGAATCCCGTAATAAGCATTTAACCTGATAGCCAAATTCGACTTCATCTACACTGAGATCAGTTACATATTGATCAAGTGAAAATACTGCTTCTGTAGTTATTTCGGAAAATGCTATAAATCGATTAGAGAGAAGATAACGGTCCATATGAATTACTCGAATAGGCCTATTCACATGTGGCCACTCGTCAACTGTATTAGATATAGTTTTGAGAGCATTTGAGGAAAATGAAAAAATAAGAGTTTGATATCTGATATTCACTATTTTCAAAGGATGCAAAGATTTTCAAGACGATAAATCTCAAATTCATAGCTGATTCTGTATTTCTAATTGCACGCCTCACAGTTGTAAAGAACTTTCAACACTGAAAAAAGTTTAATCTGAACAATGCGATTACTGGAAGGGGGATCACTGTGATGATTCCAAACAACAATAATGATTCTCAAGCTCGGGACTTTTGCAAGCAGTCGCATAACAGTTAACAAAGATCCGGATTTGTCATTTGCCAAAATAACACCAGTAAAACCTTCAGATGGTGCATGAAATGGAAAGAAGAACGGTGACACAAGGTGATTCTGTAAATTTAAATCTATGAAAAGACCAAATATATTCAACAATCTTATCAACAATAGGCAACTCCTAATAAAAGAACGAAATACTGACAGGTTGACTTTTAGATTCTTTATAAAAAATTCACGAAATTAGTTATACCTTCGATAAATTACTGTTCCAATCATCATATGTTGTAAATGAATTAATAACAATACGTCTTTCCAAAATACCTAGAGTTGTAAGAACAATTTTTTTAAGAGAAGAAAAGTAACGATCATATATGAAAGTAATTTGCTTTCTCAAGCGCTGTTTTCTTTCGAACGATAAAACTCGCAAAATTGCGAGGACTGATGATAAACGACTCCGTGAAAACATAAGCGATAGCCTTAAAAAGGGTTCTTTTTTTCTAGTTTATAAATGATTATATTTACAACAGTTGCAATAACAACTTAGTAGTGATAAAAATCTTACAAATCCCAATTGATCACTTCACTGAATGGCAAAACAATGAAATCTGATATGATAACAGGAATCGAACCAAAACGCAAGGCTGACATTAACAATGCTTCAAATCCCGCAACTCGGTCATCAATCAAAGTAAATTCACTCTCCTACAGTAGTTTGAACTCTTATTTTCTTCATTACGGTATTTAAAATGCTAAAAATTAATTTTAACAGCAAATCATAATGAAAAAACTTCAAATAGGCTCAGTACTAACTTTAACTGACCAAGCACATGAAAAGCAAACTTTGATAGTTTCATCCACGTTATAGCTAATTCCATGAATGTCGCATAAGAAATTTGCCATGAATACATTGCAATCATCCAAAACTAGACAGTCTTTACCAAAAAAATTTCTTAACAGTGTTTTAACAGTGTGTGAAGCAGATTTTATAGGTACAACCATAAAGTTGGCAAACTGCTGTGTAGGTATTAAGGATGAAGTCAAGATGTATGGATTCCACAGGGGTAATGATACATCAAATCCACGTCGAAAATTTGCAAGATGCAGGCCGGTTCTGAAATTAGATGCATTATTTTGTCAGAAAAATAACTTTTTAGATATTTTCAGATGATAAAAAACTACACTGTTTCAAAGTTCAACTACAAATTTTGTAGCAATCAGTGAATTCGATGCAGAATTTTTTAGTGTAGCTCTGCAACAAACCTAGCCACAATAGCTTTAAAATCCAAAATACTAGCACCAGCAAATACAAACAAAAGTATATTATGCTTGCTTAGACGACCACCCGCGTTAAAAACTTTTCGGAACGATGATTTGCCATTAGTGAAACGATTTATATTAAGGGTATCAAATCCAGGCATTACGAGGCAAGCATCCTCGATGACATCTACTTTATATCTCGAGTGTTCAATCACAGAACGTATTTCAAGATATTCCAGAGATGGTGATGGCGTGATATCCTTACCACCCTGAAATGTGGCGGTCTTTGAAATAACTACAATTACTTTTTAGTCCTTGATTAAAGCTCACTTATGAAAAATAAAATTTCCTTACCCCTTGAGCACGGTAAGTTAAAGTAGCAATCCAAGAAACTATCGCTTAGGCCATGGGAAAATTTAAAAGTTAATGTAGCATACAAAGAAAATTCAGAAACAACTGATGTAGGTAACATACCTTTCTTCTCATCTAAAACTACCTAGTCTCTCACCTTATCAAAGACTTGTATCAGTGGTTCAATGAAGACAGTAAGCTGATCGTTATGAAGTGAACATGGCAACAAATCAAGGCATGTATCGGTAGTGCAGTTTTTGTTGCCCTCCCACTTCTCATCATCCCCGGAAGTGACCTGATACTTTACAAGCTCATAGTACTGTTCTCCCCGATGAAACTTCCATACACTGACCCAAGCAACTAAAGAGACAAAGAGTACTAATTTCTTACAGCTGCATCGCATTCCTTCAGTAGTTACCTGAGACAAACCGACATCAGCATCAACCTTCCGAGCAAAGCCATTACCAAGTCTAAAATACAAAGGTTACGACACAGATCAGCTGCGAAAACTACGTAATTAAAAGAAACGCGCGTGCCGATGGAAATCCAACAAACAATTTGACTGACACACAATGAAAGAAAGGCAGCTTTTTCAAGCCTTTGTTAAGCAATGGTCATTGGTCTTTGCCACATAATACCAAAAACTTATCATTCGTTCAAAATAAAATAGTAATGACCCATTGATGTGTTTCTAAATCAAGGATAACTCAGCACTTCATTAGCAGTTATATGAATATGACAAAAAATTGTATATGACATAACTTATACATCAATTCTTTACAGTAGTCTGTGGCAAGAGATATATTCACGGACATATTTTTAATCGCTGTCTTTTCCTACAAATACTAGACGCTTTAAATTGATAATACGTTATCTTTGTAACAAAATATCTAAAAATGTACAAATGTAATGAATATAATTTTCAAACGACTCAGATATATCTCGAAAATCTTCTAATGATACACCGGTTCAGACTACCATGACATGAAATCAAAGTTGAATACATCTGACAAGCAGTCACTGAAAATTGCGAATGAAATACAACAAAGTACCACATAATCGATAAAAACAATATGGTATTTTAAAAACCACATAAAATTTTTATACCACGCAAAAATTTCAGTTTTGCAAACACAATCGCACCTATCACCAATAAACTATACGGAAATTAAGAACTTCACATAATATTGTAACCAGTGGCTTAAAGTTATTAACAAAATGAAACATGAACAAAGTTCAGATTCCTATAAAAGCATACAAAGTACCTGATTTCATTTGAACATTCCAAACAGCAAATATCATTCTTCATTTAAAGTTACACATGAAACTTGCTTCAAAACTTTTTCACGAAAATCACTAGCACACTTCTTTAAATCGAGTGCAAAAGATGAACAATTCAAAATTTTGTTTTTATTTTTCTTCATGCATTCCATAATATCCTGAAAATTTTCAAGAATACATGTTATGTAGCAATGCAGCGATAAGCATATTCCAACTTTTTTCTTATTCACAATGCCGTGAAATTTTTTAAACAGTAAAACAGTATCGAAGAGCTTGTCATTTTTAAATCTTATATTACAGTGAAACGGGTGCACAGTCCAGATCTATGTAAAACGACAAAAACTGTGAGAAATAGACATAATGGAAGAAATTTAAAAAAAAATAACGAGGGTAATGACAACTAACTATCTCGTAGGCTTTGCAATCATTTTCCGGATGATAAGAAAAATAATGCTTTTCTATACGTCCCAAAGTTTCATCAAATGCATTCTTCCGCGCTTCTATTTCGGCAATGGTAAGATTTTCTAAAAGTCTCTGAACTTCATTTCGTGACTAAAAAATAACTGTGCAGCTTTTCAAATTATTTCTTCAATTAAATGTACGAAACACATACTCAGTTTTCGTGAACCATACGAAACATATACTTCGTTTTCATGAACTTTTCTGGCATATATTAGTTATGTAAAAAAAAAGACAGAATACCAGAGGGACATCGGGCCGAAATCTTTGGCTCTGGAAATTGATTTATTTGTTCTCGTAGCTTCTTATTTTCTTCCTTCTCTTCAGCTAACTGCTTTCTGAAATGCTGCGATAAAAAACTGCTACTAGTAGGATAAGATAGAATTTCAAACTATGCAAAGCGAAACTCCAAATAAAAGAAATGAGAACGGTCTAAACTGAGTACATAACTTACTTTAGAGTGCTTACAACTTCATTCTCGGAAAGTTTGGAATTTAGCACCTGATCAACAACATCATGTGATACTCCAACTGTTCTGTACTCCTCCGGGACTTCTGTTCGTTCAATTCTCAACACCTAAAGATTTAAAAAGTTGAGGATTCCAGTTGGTAGCGAAAATAAGGAATGTTTGCATTTCTCAACGAAAAAAATTGGTTGCAAGATATTTCAATAAGCACGAAAAAAATTTGATGCCTTAGGAGGATGATCAGATGAATTTGAATCTTCACGGCTTTGTAATGATCCCATGTTTTAATGGAGGTTTGTATCTGAAATAAAACTAAATTCAGTGCTTATATTTTTTCATTTTAATTAAATAAGCTTTAGGTAGATCTCAAGGGTTAATTTTTTCTTTGAATTTTGGTTTTTATAAGGTTGCGTAAGATCCTGCTCTAACCTTACAGTTTCATTATGGAAGATATTGAGGGAGGTGCAGTACTGTTGAAGTGCTCTTCGAAGTCTGTGAATTACACAACTTCCCCCTATTTTTCTAACCACCTACCAATATTTCTGAGTTCCAATTCCAATGCGATCTGATCAAATGTCAGATACACTCAACTTTCTATTCTCATTACGTAAGATTATATTAATCCACTGCTACGCCAACACAGAAACGAATCCCTGCAGTCTACACCACATTAAAGTTTGAAAAAGATATAAGATTAAAAACAAACTTGACAACTTGAAGATACCAATAACTGCAGAAAATTCAGAAGACACTTTCTGATTACAAATTCGAAATCAGTTTGGCCACTCCATATTACGCTAATACTACAACAAAGATAACGCAGTTCTATAATCAGTACCGTTGTGAAAAGTTTGTATCCCTAGAATAAGATAAACATTTACTGTAAACTTGAAACTTAAAAGCCAGTTTATGTTCTTGGGTCTACCGGATCTTTGATATAGTGCATAAGGGCTAAGCTCATATGCGATAATTGTCGTTTATTTGTTGTTTAAGTCAGATTTTACTTGCTTAGCAATGATAGCTTTGAACTGAGTAGTAGGAAGTTTTGCTCATTAGCCGTCAGAGCCGTGCATAAGTAATATTAACGCCAGACTGCAACCTAGCATTTTAGGCTGTGTAAAAGTATTCCATCTTTTTCTGTTTTTATTATCATCATTTCAACTTTTACTCACTGCTGTTTCCGTAAGTCATGCAAAGGATGAATACAAAGTCACCAGAACCTAAATTATCATAATTATTATAAACTCTATTACTTATAAACTCTGGTTAAATTTTTACTTGGGACTAGTTTCACTGAGAACATTATAATGAATGGCATGAAACATTGTCGTCAAGGAAACCACCAGAATTAAGGCTTCTATAAATACTAAATGTTTGCTTGATCTAATTTCAAGAATAATTTCACACAATTTCATTCCTAAATTGCATTTTAATATTTTTTCAGCAATATAACGAATTCACATTTTGATCTTTAAAACGACTAAACTACTTTAAAACAGGTAAGCTATTTAAGATTGATAAAGTTCGATATTATGCCTTGCATCAAAACTCATCTTGTCAGAATTTACTTCAGATTTCCAAATACTAATTTTTTCATTTTTATTTATCAAGAACCCGTCTAGGAAAATAAGCCAAGGATTTTCTTTGTCGTTCAACTTCGGAAATGTTATCAGTGATTGTTTCTGATGTCAGTTTTTCCAAAGTTTGAAACGATTATTGTTGAATTGAACAAATATTGAATCTGTTCTATTGCCGAAGATATTGTATATTTGTTTTATTTTTCAGAATGATCGTTGCGGCTGGAGTAGTATGCTGAAGAATGTTCTTCGCAAACTACTGTAAACTAAAATATCATGTTTCGAGCTCAGCAGATAATGAGAGGATTCAAATTGCATGTTTTTCATGACATTTGAGTCAAAGATTTTGATGGATTTTGCTGATTATGAATTTGAAGTTATTGATTTGATACATTTTACTTGAGTCAAACAGGATTAATAGCAATGTGATGTTTAAGAAAAAGTAAACTTGACCCGGGATTAATTTTTCGAATTAGTATTTTGCTAGAATTATATGATTAGGAACTGGATGAGTTTACGAGATGCAGAAAGTGGCAAAATGCTGTGGCAGTGCGATGAAGATCTTGCTTCACCTGGGATGGAGCATCAAGGTATTTTTTTTCCTCCAGTTTGACATATCCTGATTTGGTACACATTTCGATGAATTCAAGTCGGTGTCTGTTCAAAACTAAAATGATGAATTAGTGCAAAAGTGATATCCGTATATTTTATGTTTTTTTTTTTGGAAAATGCTCTTTAAAAAATAAATGATTGCATTTGCTGCTTTACTTTTTAGCTTATAAATTTGATAAGTTTACAAATCATCGAACTTTATTTCGAAAAAATGAGATTGATTTTAAAATGTTGATCTAAAAGTATTATGATGTCACCGAATGTAATTTAGCGTATTTTCGGGATTCCTTGAATGGTATTTCAACCGAAGTTAATGGTAATGTATTTTAGCTCATGTGCCTAAAAGTATACTGAACTGTCGAGCAGTATCGCGTGAGATAAATTTCACATCTGTTGAAAAAATAGAAAAATTCCGTTTGGAACAGCGGGTATTACTAAAAGGCAGTGTAATAGAAGGTATTTCCTATTTCTTTTCTTTTTTCGTAAATTCCCTAAATTAATAAACTGAAGTTTTTATTTCATTAATTCATTCACTCAAGTGGACTGGGATTGTTGATTTCATACCTAATCAATCATTTTTTTGGTAACAACATGATTTTCCTGATCCTTTTTATTTTATTTTGACTATTACATTCATTTATCATTCTTTTAAATATATAGGAGTTGCAGAGTGGTTTTTTGAGTTTGGATTTGTTATTCCACATTCAACTAATACTTGGCAAAATTTGATCGAAGCTGCACCACAAGCACAGATGTTACCTGCATCATTGTTGAGGTGAATTTCGTTCTCTTTTCTTGTTTTTTCTTCGATTGATTTTTGATACTTTTTGATGCAAATTAAATTAAAATATATTTAATTCTTATGGACTTGATTAGCTCTTGAAAATTACTTAAAAAGTTAATTGATTAACCCAGTGAAAGGATTTGAATTCGTTTTGAACTACGTCGACCATTTTGTTCTTATTAATGTGTTCAGAGGATGCTATTGGATAAATTATTATTACACTGATTTATGTATGGTTTTTGGCAAACTAGGATAAGTTAACCCAATAGTAATCCATATAATTCATGTAGAAAATTGTGTTTCATTCTTTCGGTCGTGGAATAATTATTACTACAGTATCGATTATCGTCACTCCACATGAATTACACGAAAATAAATAAGTTAGAAAATGAAATGTTAATGACTACAAAAATTTGAATATTATTTGATGGTTTCAGTGGTAATGTCGTAGTTGAAACGAGGTTTTATGACGATGATTTGCTTGTCAGTACATCACAAATTCGGATCTTTTACATATGATCTGAAACTTCATTGATTGCTATTTGTTTCCAAATTCATGAATTCATCATCCATTTGTAACTTTTATACACATTATACTGTATGAACGATCAGTTCAAAAGCTAATTGGTACCATGCTGTTTAGAGCACTTTTTTTTAAATTGTGATGCAGATATATTTAAAAATTATAGAACAGATGATTTGAATCTTTCATTCCGAAAAGATTCTTTTAATATTTGAAGCTATTTAAGATATAGATTGATTGCCGAATGCGATGAAAATTCGGAAATAAAGAATATAAATTAGCTTTTGCTGAGATTTCGAAGATTTTGTAGAAATAATCACAAACTTTGAATCAGCAAAAGAATTGCTAAAAACTGGTGTTCAGAACTTTGTTTAAAAAAATATTCTGAGTAAGCTTATTATTGATAATATTATGAGTTGTAAAAATCATTTTCTGTAGACAGCAAATTTATTTTGAACCTGCTTAATTTTTGTGTCTGATTTTTTTGTTTTCTTTGGATTTGGATGATTTGTATCTGATTGCAGTTTGCTGGAATTTCTGCCCCAGATATCATCATTGTTCATGTCCCATCTATACATGTATATTTTCAACTTTATTTCATTTAAATCCATTTGTCTAACATTTTTATGGTCTCCAACTTATCTATCGATTGCTGAACTATATACTGGATTGTTTGAAAATACCATAGAATTATTAATTTCTGGTGCGATAAATATTTTAATACTGCAAATGGATGAATCATCACATTATATTTGATGCATTGTACTGAAATTTTCATCGTGTGTCAAATCACGGAAGGATTATATTTGAAAGCAGTGAAGAAATGGCACAGGCTTGAAGTGTTGCATAGATTTGTATTGGTTCCACTAGTAATGTGACGATATATTTCTATGAAACAGTTTCCACTTACACGGACCTCACTAACCAAATGTAACACAAATTAATCGAATATGCCAACAAAGTATTGGGTAATTTTTGGTATACCCGTGTACCGTCTAAACTGATGCACTTGTTTTGCCCGATAATGATTTATCATGTGCTTCGGCATATTAAGTCTCTTCTTCGCAGATCTATCAAGCTTACTCTCTGCAAGTGATTTGTAGTTGAAAATTTTTCCTTTTGTATGAGGTAGATTCCCTATTTTGATTTGATTGATGTTGAAATTACTTCGGAAAATTTATGGACGTACGAGCTTTTAGTAATATTTACATAATTTTTAAGTCAAGTATTAGAAATATGGAAATAGTATTGTCCAGAAGTTCTTATGATAAACAGATCAAATAATCGTTTGGCCTACAAAACTAACAATTAGAGAAAGTGGACGTGTTGACAAAAGAGTGAAATAATCGATAATTTTCGTACTATGCTGAGAGCCTAGAAGGACAGTTGGAAGTGCACAGTTTTTAATACCAATGGAGTAATTCCATCAAGTACTGTAGCAAACTAATTTACGAATCCAGAGGCCTTCAGGATGGATTTCAATGAAACAAACAAGGTTGAAAATTATTTGGAAAGAAAGATGAAAAGTTATTGCATAGATTATTATTTCACAAATAAATAATGAATAGTAATAATTCATGTCAGTCGGTTGGCTGATAGAGATGAAGTGGGAAGGTTGTACGAAAAAACTATCTCTAACGCAGTCACATGTCATAAACATCACTCCTTCGTTAACCTGTTTTGGAAACGATGAACACTGATTAAATTCTCTCTCTGAGGCATTAAAAATCAGACTATTGCAAACTGATGCTTTCTTCTTCCCAATTCTGCTTTCGTTTTAACGTTATTTTCTCTCAAAATGATCTGTAAATAGTTTCAGGCAACTTTTGTGATTCAGAAATTATGATTAAAAAGAAAGTCATTCATTTAATTGAACTTAGTGAAGTTTTACTGACCTCAGCGGAGTAACTCTTTGCATTTGTCGATACCTATTGATGAACTAAAGATGGAATTACCGCTTACATACGAAACATTTTCTGAATCAAGCAATCTAAATGCAGATTACTTTTCTATTTTCCAACTTTTCACTGCATGTCAAAATATAGCGAAACTAGTTTGTCAAAAAATTTCTTGCTTTATAGAATTTATGACCAAAAAGTAATGCTGAATTTATAACATGTCACGTAAAGGTCTATGCTTGCATCCATGGAAATCAAGTGTTATAGTCAAGCGCCTCGTAGCGAAATCAAATGTAAACATTTGAGTTGAGACAAGCCAAGAACGAAATGAATTTAGCAAATTTCAAGTTCGATTTCTGGGGATCAACGGTATGCTTCACTGTGTTTTGATTAACCATATAGTCAGGCAATGTAACTACGTCTGAATACGTCTTTCTCATTTCAGAACTAATTTTACAAATTTATAGCGCTGTGATTAATTCTTTTTCTGTTCTTTCAAGAGAAAAATTTCATCTTATAAGCTGAGTTACAGTTTAATCGTAACAGTAACAGTAACTTCCAGTAGGATATGAAGTGTCACCAAAATATTTTCTGTCTTGAGAGATTTACATTAAATATTAATCACAAAATGCTCGATTTGTAGTGTGAAATTCTGAAAACCAGGCACTTATTTAGATTTTGCCAGCGATAGTGAATTTTGTCATCGGTAAATAGTGTTTATATAATAAAAGTTATTCACATTATGACAAATGATATAAGATTAATGTATTTAAATAACTTTAATTTAATCGGGAAGGATAAGACTTCAGGTTTTACGGGTTGTGATACCCCAAATGCTTATTATTATCTTACTTATTTCTTATGTATTATTCGGTTCAGCAATGTTTGTTCTTTTGGATAATACTTTGGCCAAGGAGAATTTCACCGATATTATTCTTTTCTCATTTACAACTATTGCCACGATAGGTTTGTTGATAATTATATTTTAGTTATCACAAAGATATATTTTTATATTGATATATTTGATATATTTTTATATATTTTTAGCTATGTTTATATATATGTTTATATATTTTTAGTTTATATATTTTTTTTATGTTGATATATTTTTAGTTATCACAAAGACTTTAAGTTTGAGCATTTTTCGAACAATTCTAGAAAGAGCTGTCAAGTGCACACAATGATAAAATTACAATAGTTCAGGCTATGGCAACATTACGCCATCCACGCCATTAGCGCAATTATTTTGCATAGCTTTTTCAATAATCGGTATTCCGATGACTCTTTTAACATTGGCAAATCTTGGTAAGTACCTTACGAAAAGCTATTGGATGGCTCTAATATGCCTTGGTCAGGTGAGTTACTATCATTCTTTGTGACTCATGTACCCGTCATGGATAAAAAATGGAATACAATATAAATTTGTAAATTCAATTTCCAAAAATGAGATGAAAAAAGGAAAAGATTTTAGTAAGCATAAAATTACTCTCCATGAGATTATCGAAAAAATTTATAAGTGAGGTAGGTTTTAGGTGAAGCCGTTCATTTCCTATATTTCTGGCCAGGGGTTTTTATTATAAGCGTTCTTTGCTATTTTTGTTCAATTTGTAACGCCTTAGGAAATGCGTTGGCGACCTTGTGAAAATGCAAAGATGCCTCTACCAACAGTCATTGTCTTATTTTTAATTACATTTGCTTTTGGCTCGATACTGTTTTATCAGAAAGGAAGAGGTTTCACAGTAGACGACCTGTATTTCAGGTATTATATCTTGTAAATTATCCATTTGTTCACGGATAAAAGTTCTTGTTTTATTTATTATTTATAAAATTTTTTATAAAATTTTTGTCTAAACTTTCAAGCCATTAACAAATACGAAACTTATGATTTTACTTAAGAAGAGCACTCACTTTAAAACACCTTAAAGATGGAAGTTAAATGATGAATGGAAAATTTTAGCATCATCAGTTTTGCTACAGTTGGATTTGGCGATAAATTCCCAACAGCAGATGATCCATTACGTTTGATTGCTATGATTTGCTATTTGGTCTGGGGTATGATTCTGATGACTACCACATTTTCCATTGTTAGCACTTATTTGAGAACAGTACGTTGTAGATTTGCATCATTTTTTACTTTTATTTACAAGGTGATCAGGTCTTTGCAAACTATATATATAAATATATTTAAAAAGAGAGAGCAAGTAGAAAAATTGAAAAAAAAAACTTGTTTGAAAACAGTACGTTGTATCGTACACATATCAGAAGCTCTCCTAGAAATTCAATGATTTTCAGATCCATTATTTAGGGCGAAAATTACGAGGAGCTCGTGATGTGCATGTGTGGTTTGGAGGTAAAAGTATGAAAGTCTCGAAATTACTTGAAATTGTTGCAGCTGAGCTAAACGTAAGTTATCGAATGGTTTCAAAAGAGTTTGAAATACGGCACATGACAGTGCCAATGGTGAGAACCTAAACGATGGCTAATTAACAGGCATCACCCCGTCAATTAAAGGGTGTCTTAAGAGATCTCGATAACTTGATATCAGTTGCTGCTGAAGAAAACCAGCTGCTCTCAAGGCGATCGTCAATACTGTTTAAAGGTCGATGTTCCGTGAAAAAACGTATAGGATATTCTCTTCAAGTATTTTGTTTTTGTTGCATTTCATGTTTTTCAAGTTCTGTAAACGTTTAAGTTGTTACATGTAACTTTTAGAAGATTGCTTGCAATCATTTCAGGAGAATTTGTCAGACGCTGAAAAGAAAAAATCTCACTGTGATTTTTTGAAATCTGGGTGAGTTGATTTTCTATTTTTTAAGGAAATAGATGTATGAAAGAAGTGTAGTCGTCTACTTTTATCAATCTTCTGTTTCACAAAATATTCATAATCTTAATCATATGGTTACTGACAGCGTGTTCGATACAGCGCAAGAAAGAAGCAAATTGCTTAATCAAAACTTCATCAAAGATCGATTGGTGATTGGAAGACGACATTCGATTGACTTAGGTGAACTTGATCGACGAACAATTGTGAAATTTGAAGTTTAAATAAATACTCTCTTAATTACTTCAAACTGCTATTACAAATTACCAAGTAAAGGAACAGTAAGGAATGTGAATGAAAGAATACAGACTAGATAGAATTGAGCTACAAATTGAAATAAAAAACATATGTTGATCTTGACTTGTCAAATCAGTCACGTTCACTATTTTGGCGTAGTATACTTGCTATGCTAGTAAAGGGTGCATCATTACTGGTGCTGAAGAACTTATACAGTCACTGCTCACAATGACATATCAAATAAGCTCGTACTGGCTCTCTCTCTATGTATTCACCCGTAAAGCATTTCCTGGTTTGTAAGCTGAAGTTAGTTCCATTACTATTCAGTCCGACAAACTCTCAACATTAGATTTGTACATTCTTCCGTTTAATTTTCAATTCCAAATCATAAATAAGTAGCTACCAAATTTTTTGAAGTGTTAGAAAATTATTCTATTTATCAAATGAGATTACTAACAAATTATAAAGTACCAAAAAGAAATTTCTGAGAGGAAATTGCTAAAAATATAAGTATGGAAGAGGAAGACTATCTGCAGAAAAAGAGATTCGCCCTATGATAGCTTAACTTTGCTTGTAGAAGAAAAAAGACCTCAGTTATGAATCTTGCGTGTTTCAGTAAGCTATGAAGTAATCCGATAAGCATGCAATCGCTGAGAATAGTGAACACTTCTTCACTTGAAATGAAAGCGCTTACTGCGAAACTTAATTTGATCCTGCTGACTGCAGAAAAATGAAGAAATAAATCAGAACACAATACAAATTCCAGCAAATTGGCGTCCTATTTTGAAATAAAAAGCAAAGGTTTTTTCTCCATCAAAATCCTAATCAAGGTAGACCTTTCAGTTCATTTATTCTCAGCTTTCTTAATGCTATTATTTTTTCTACATTTTGGAAAAGTCAGTCAATAAAGTATAAAACTTTGCGGAATATAAATAATGAAAGAGTAAACTTTCTACATGAAATCATAGTAATTTTTTGTAATAAGTTTAAATGGATTTAACCTAGCCTGCATTCAAAATCCTCAACTCTCTAATAGCCCTCTAGTCCTTTTAAACAAAGCCCATCATGTATGCGATTTGTGCACGTTATTTCCTCCCAGATGCAAACAGATCTTGCTTTAGATCTGTATAGATTGCACAACTAGATTACAAGTACACGACGATTTTAAGATGACTCTTAAAATCACTGACCTATGACAAACAACATTCTTTTAAGAAAGCTATTTTCGATAATCTTTACTGGCGGTGCAGATAGGTGTAACTTCGGTTATGAAACTATTCATCAGAATCACAAGTTATCCTTGCAGAGGTTTCTTGAAAATGGTTTAAATGTGCTTGCCTTGAAACATCTTCCTTTAGAGTGTGCGCATTCAGATTCTAAATCAGTGTACTGAAGGATCTCAGCTGTAAATAAAGAAGTGTAAAAGATTATACTGTTCGGTCTTGAGTCAAATATTATAGGCTCTTACACCGTATACAGAAAAGTCTTTGAAGCCATTGTTGGATCAAAGGCTCATGCCTGTGGGTTTTGGTCACAAACGGAATTTCGACAATGTATATTTGACTTTAGTATATGTTTAAATTCCACTGTTGTAATACATAAAAAAAGACTATCATTCTAGTTGTTATGATGGGAATGTAAGTTTTTGTAAAACTGTCAAGAACTATTAAGACTATTAAGTATTCACGATTAAGTATTCACGATCATTGAACCAAAAACTAATAGTACTCAAAAGTTAGCATCATGATTTGTTAGATTACTATAATCTGCATTAGTTACAAATGAATCAGATATTCTTAACAATTTCTAGCTCTGGTTTTTTGATGAAAATATCCGTTTATCGTAATTTCAAGATCAAAGAAACTTTTTTATTGCAAAATATCTTGTACTTTTTTACGGCTAGCAATAGTTACTGCTAATAAGTCAAATATTTTGAAAGATATCTCATTGAAGTGGGAGTCATGACAAATAGATGTTTTAGAAGCTAAGACAATGAACTGAAAAATTTTTAAATTTCAGCAAAAGTTTTCTGGACAATTAGTTTTGGTAGTGTTAGTTTCTTTTACTGCAATGAACTTATTTTTGTTGACCAGTCATAGCAAACCAATAAAATTTGACAAAATACAAATTTTGCCAAAATAAGGACTGTAGTACACGCATACTATCCATAAATACTCCCAGAATATGATTATTGATTTCAGCGCATTTCCTCATACATCTATCAGCTTTCCTTCATCTAAGAATTAGTCTTGTGATCGCTATAAGAATCAGAACTTCAATAAACTCTCAACAATTACATATCTTATTTCTGTGTTCAAACAATTTACGTCTTTATTGAGCAGAAAATAGTATTAAAAAAGGAAACAGATATGATAAAAGTAGCAATAGAGACTATGATTATATTGATAACTGATAAAAAATATTTTGCCCGCTGTAAATCTCTTACTGGTTATTATACATTACACTTCATTCATCTACATCTTGACATGCTCAACACCATTTATAACTATTATAATTAAAATGCAGTGAACTGTACTCATTATTTATAAAGTACCAGTGCTGCTTTGCTCCATTTTCAAAATAATGAAGTATTTTTGAGACTAAAAGAATCAAGAAAATTGTCTGAAAAGACAAGAGCAATATTTCTCGTGGCATCACATTTCTGAGATTGGAAAATGTTCACGATTAGTCCTATTATTGGCTGGAAAATCCACCATGGTTAAAGTTAGGGGTTGATCGAACTTGATGATTATCTGAAAACATTAATTCCTAGTACTCGTAATTTAGGTGCAATTTTTCGCTCATTCTTTAGAGCCTTTTTAGCTCAGATCAATTACATTAATAGCTAGAAAAATAAGATTAAAAATTTCAGCATGTTTGCAATCCTCGTTTTCGTGGATAATTTGGAAATTATTTTTCAAGTGTTAGTTAAAACGACAAAATCAATAGTTTGGTCGTTAAATATATACTGTTCATCGAGAAATACATATTCATTAAAAAATTCTGTAATTCTGATACTACAAAAGCATTAAATGAGCTAGTAAGAACTAGTGAAGGAAATCCGTTTTGTTCATGAATTTTTTTTAGTCATAGGAAAATTCTGACATTTTTGCACCATTTGACGAAGAATATCTCTAATATTTTGATAATAACCCAAAACCAAGACAGAAATTTGCAAATTCCCCACTCCAACGGGAATGCTGCACCAAGATTTTTCGGAGGTTCTTTGGAGCCTTTCCACTGCCACTTAATTATAGTAATTGCTGAAAAAAATCAATGAAGTGTCAGTGCTTTTAGAATTTCTCTTCAGAATCTTGATAAATCTTCTGGAACCATCTGCTTAAGAGTCAGGCTTTTATTGCTTTTACTGCGATAGAATGTTTACACTGCAAACTAACCACTGAACTATAATTATTTTATAAGGATCCTAGCACTGTTGGAATGAAGACCGATCTGACAGTTATTTTAAATAACTTACTGATGGAAATTATTAGCCAACAAGCCAAACCGCAGAACAACTGAACTGTCACTGATGAATCTCTGCTATTATTCGACAGCTCCAAAATATGTGTGAACAGAAATAATAAAGTTACAATCGTCCCTACTATCGGAACCAACAAATGTGCTAAATATCATTTATTAAATCTATATGATTGTTTTTTGTGTAAAATATTGATAATCAGTATACAATCCAGTTGCTTATATCTGGTTCTTTTTCTTACCAGATCCAAGTTGTTCATGTCCGATGCCAAATTTTTCTTGAAATCTGAGGAAAAAGCACAATTTGTTAACGCCATGTTTGCGGTAATAAAAGTCATGTCTGGAATGTGTTGTTTCTAATTATTAATTTCAGGCGTTTTTAATTTTCGAGTTTGACTTAATGAAAAATGACAATTGTAACTTTAAGGAAAATCAGTAATCTACATTGATTCGATCCCAAATTGTTATTCAAGTTAAACTGTAAGATAAAAGAAAAACCGAATATTCAATTGAGTTATGTTGTGGCTTGAATTTTGAGACGATTGAAAGAATTCAATGACCGCATCACTTTTCATTAATTCTAAGTGTCTCTGAAAAATTAAATTAAATTTATAAACAGGCTCGTATGAAAACTATTGTTCTATATAGTGAGTAGATTCATATAACCACTTTCTGCCATATTTGTTATTCTAATGACTCAAATGATATCTAGTTTGCTTCGCTCGTTGTTTATTTAAGAAACACCTTACTGTTCTACTTTTTGTGTATTTTGTTTTTTTTTTCAAAGAGAAGATACCTCTTGTTTATTCCTGCATTACTTCATGTAAAAATCTATCAATTTACTGTCACTGTAGCTTACTCTGAGAGCTGTAATAGCAAATACAAACTAAATGTTTTAAACTATCTCAAATTTAGATTAAATATGAATAGTAAAAAAAAGTAAAGCTGTAACTGATGAACTTTTGATCTGAAAATCATTTTAAAAACTACTTTTCAAAATTTTGTTAACAAAAAGCCGAGATGAAGTGTAAAATTGAAACTGACATTCATTTGTCGCGCACACTGTCTGTCGTTCTTGAGAGCTTCCTCTAGTTCTGAATCTTTCATTTCACGACAAATATAAATGGGCCAGATCAAAAGTACCAACATGACAATTATTACTGAGCACATTTCAAATGCATGTGGCACCAGTAGTACATTCATTGTGAGTTTTTCTCTGCAAATTATCATTTCATTAATTTATTACGTTAATCAAAAAAATCTATTCTTTGAGTTTTGCTTCCATGTAGAAATATCTCATTTATTTTCTGCAAGTGAACTGCTTAATTTAAAATGATCCACGCTCAGTTTATTCATTTGACTACTTTTGAATTTTGCTTTAGTTGTATGAAGCATCCTTTTTGGAATTGACTGAACGTAGAAAATAAAAAAGTTATTTTAAAGTTTTATTATAAAATTAGAGACATCCATTATTATCTAAAATAATAGGATAAACATGTATTCAAGATAAAATTATACTCATAAAATAAAAACAATTATGGAAATATACTGCGCGGTTTGAGAGAAATCTGTCTAATTATCAAAATGAATGGAATAAGCGATGTATTTGTAATCCCACAGAATTACGCTTTCAACTAATGCTGCTTATAGCAATATTCAAAACCTAAAAATATTGCAACATATTACTCCCGTGCACATTAAGAAAATTCAGCTATGAACCATTTCTTTTCCAAAGACTGAAGTCATTCAGTAATTAATCCCAGCAAGAAACTAAACTTCATAAAATAAGATACAACCGATGCCGAACTGATTAACACAAAAAACCAATGAAGCTGCAATTATTTTAACGTTTTTCTTCATCTTCCAACTGATAAACATTATATGCAAATTTGCATACGAATATGCATATTTCTCACACTGTCTTTGTTCGCCCTTAAAGAGCAAAATCATGATTTTCTGCAGCAAACCTTATATAGTTATAAATAAATAAAATGAACTGAAAATGAACTCGTACATTGATGGAAAAATGCTCAGTTGTGTTCCAAACAAAGGGAGCTCAAATACGACATTTCACAACATGATGAGATAGCGTTTTCGGAAAAGTTACGTCGCAATGATGTAACCAGTCATAGTTTAAAAAACCACACTCAGGTACAACTAAGTATGATGTATCCACTGTATTTATTTGACGTAGTCTGATAATTTTTATAACGTTTTTTGCAAAGTCAAAACGACTCAGCTCTGATATTTGAATCGTCAATTACAGTAATTAGTAAAAGTAATTAGACTTATAGTAATTGAAGCCTTTTTATCTTTAATTAGCATGTTTAATACTTATATTCTGAAAAACAAAGCAACAATCACACAGATCAAGAGTTTATGCACAAGTATTAAAGTTTTCTTTAGTATATTTTCAACATAAAGATGAAGTCATATGAGATTTTCATGATGACTGGTTTCAATTCTGACATTATTCTTGAATTTGAAATCTCTGGGAAGTAAAAAATGATGTCAGCTTTTATCTTCAAAAAGCCAGGTAATCTTATTTTCTCACAGCAAATGGAAGAGATGTATAATTCTCTCAGTATTTTTTTCAAGCAAATTTAAATAATGACAAGCAGCGCTGAACTGAATCTTATTTTACGTATAATTTACGAGATGCTCACATTATGTATAATAATTACTCAAGAGTATTCTAATGAACTGCAACATATTAAATATTCAGCAAACAAATTAGCATGTATTTTGATGTTGTTAAAATCATAAATCAAATTTACACACTCCAAAAAACTGTTTTAATGAAACATTTAAAACAAGTTTGGTGAGCAATGAAGAAAGAGCAGTAGTGGGTGAAAAGTATTCAGTGTTGTTCTTTCCCTTCTGTTTTTGCATATATTTGGATTCATAATTAAACACTTCATCACTTATGCCATCTTTTAATGCTTTTTCGAAGTTCTATTTCTTCAGAATATGATTTTTTAGTTTTTTTCTTTTCAGAAGCTACTTTTCACCAGTTTTCAATAAAAATTTTCGACTGTACAATTATTGAATGTAAAACTTCATAAAATTTCCTCCTTAATTTTTTTTAAACCTCATAGAAAAGTTTTGGAATGAGTCTGTAATGCTGATTAATCTAAGTTATGAGCTTGATCTTAGAGTAGTTACTTGAATATCAAAAATTCAGAATGCAAAAATTTGCAAAAAATTGGGGTTTTGTAGAATAGTGATTTTTTCTTGGGGATTCACTTTCTGACTGTCTAACTTCTAATTTTTGCAGACAGAAGAAAAACTTCTGTCTTCTGAAGAGTTTTCTTCCATAAATTCTAAAAATAACTGCAATTTTCTGTATGGAAAACAAGGTTGGTTAACAAAAATTCAACAAATACTATTTTTGAATACAGATTTTACTTCCAATTTTACTTGCATAGTACATATTGGTTATGTAAATTATGTAATCAGTATAGACTGCTCTCTAAAATTTTTACGATGCAAAAGTTTAATATATTGTGACATTGCATCTATCATTACATTAGTATAGCATGAAAATAATGATGTAGATTCATAATTAACGATTTAAAAAATAATAAAACTTTTTTGCTTCTTTTGGGCTTGTTATTTAGTTATGCATTTTGCGTGTAATTTACCTTAGTCCTAACTCCGAAAAGATTAAATGTCATACAGAATGTTATGACGATAGCTTGAAAATTCTACAAAGATTAGTCAGTAGTCAAGGATTGATAGTCAGTCCCAGTAGTTTAGTACTCTTTTTTTTAAATATTTATTCAGCATCTTTTCTCGCCACAGCAAACACATAAGTATGCTAAACTTCTTACCCGTACAGCTTTTGGAGTAAATAATACATTAATTGATCATCAAAATATAATTAACCCATAGTTTTATCACTGTTATACCTTTTAAAAACCTTGTTTTTGAAATATCTCAAAAATTAAACTTGAAACAAATATTGATTCGATTTTAGTGATAAGCATTACTTTCTTTCAAGCTTTTAACTTGGAAGTATTCAGCACATCTTTAATTATTAGGATATCCATTTTCGTTTTTGCGTGAGCATAATAACTAATTTTCGAGCACATTGTAAGAATAAATGAAACTAATTTAGGCGCAAAGAATTAAAAACTGAATACTTATTTAATAATATCAAAGGTTATCTCATTACATCTATTGTGAAGATATATCATCAGATCAACAGTAATAACAGTTAAGAATAATACCATTCTATGTGATAAGCAAAATTCTATTCCAAGCAAAGAAACAAGCACAAAAGACTTAGCATTTTTTAATTAACGAGTGAAAAAGACGTTTGTTGTGCTTTCTTTTTTTTTTCATTATAAATTTCTTTCAACGAAATTGCTTCTGATATTTGCTTGAACTCACTTATTAATCTGACCTATTTAATACTAATATTTGTACAATTTCTATTTTGCTATTAATGCGCACATTAAAAAAACTAATATCTAATTTATGATATAACGCTTCTCGTAATTCATATTTTCAGCACTTTTTGTAAATAATATTGCTATTTTAAAGTTTTTATTGGTTTTCTTAAATGCTCTTTAGAATAGATTTTTCAAATTTAAAACTAATTAGATGAAAGCATATGCATAAGAAAATCAAGCAAATATTTTGTGAATATGTTATGGATTTGATCAGATAATTTATTTGAAAAGCAATAAGAAATAGCACACAATGCTATAAATATTTCTTCAGCAGATATTCTTTAAAAATGTGGCATTTCATATTTATCCATCAAATTACTTATTTTTGTGATTTAAAATAAAACGTTTATAAATTTTAAAATTTATGCGACAATTTTATTGATTGACATATTTATCCATTTGAATCAGTTTTTATTGTATTTGAAGCAGTAAAGAATGCATTGCAACGTTGATTAATTTTTTTTTTATTATACAGACAAATTCTCATAAAACTACAGGGAAATTTCTGGATTATTTTAATTTTATGGTGTTAAGTTTAGCAATGCAATCATGTTAAATGAATGAATATGATAAATTTTAAATTTTGCCTACAGCAAATAATCAGAGAGGAGAATTTAGAACAAATATCATAGAATAGTTTTTAAAAATTGTCTAGTATTTCGAAAAAATTTTGCAATGAATTGCATTTGTCTTAAGAACTTTCAATTTTCAATTTTTCGCTCAACTATTTTTGCAAGCAGTCTGACCGTACCAAACAGATAACTTTGTGATTTGATCCATTTTCAAAGATTTAGCAATTGAAAAGTATTGCAATTTCAGGCTTTTATTCTTCATACTTTGGTAATCTTACATTTCAATCATCAGAGAAGTATGACTCAATGCTATTTTGAAAAAAAATGCACTCACTTTTAATTTATTAAGAAAATCTTGACATCAAAAAATAACATATTTAATACAAATATGCATTAAATATTATGAATATTTGAAATATGTAAGACTTTTGGGTGGATTCAGTGTTTAGTGAAGATAGAAAATTATACCTGTTTTAAATGATGTTCTTTGTTTATCACCCTCATTTCTATAAAAACGAGAAAGTGAAAAATTTTTTTTAATATTTGAAAAACAATTAAGCAAAAGTACTTGCCTTTTAATAAGAAATATCGAATTCATAACAGTCTATATTTCACTTGAACATAGATTCTACCGATTACGTGTAAAAGTTAATGCGTTCAGATGTTGACATCTTAAGATTTTCCTTTTAAAGCAAAACATCTGTTCAAGGAATTAAGCTAATGCGTAGAACTACTTACAAATTTCATCTTTTTCAAGAAAATTAAACATTTGACTTAATGGACATGTTTATGAGTAAGTGATTTTTTTTTGCTTGAATTTACTTTTGGAAAGTATTTCTATCGGAAATCTCTTGTCCGAAATATTTATTGCTCATTTGGTAAGCACTGAAATCAGACGGTTCATTTAAGACTGAATTTTGTATTTATTGATTGTGCAGATTGCATTTTTTCTGTTGGTCAAAATATCATTCAAAGATGGATGTTTCAGAAATTCTGTAATACTACGAGGCAAAAAGATTTTTGATCTGACAGCATAACAAGGAAAGACAATTGTCTTTTTCAGAAAAACATGAATGCTCCACAAGTTTACTTCTGTTTTCAACTAACTAAATAAATTACTGAAATAACCACACTACTTAAATTATCGTCCTTTTCATTTACGATCTACTATCGCTAATTTTGATGACTTTTACTATTGTATTTCCATCAATTTTGTGTCAAATCACAAGACACTTATTAATTCCCACACCATGAATGTTATTTGACAGTTTCTTGGTTTCATTTATATCTTGATAAATTTTTTAATGCAAATTTTTATAGCTTTTTAATCGTGAATGATCCAGATCTTTGAATTAAGCTTCATTTAATATGCATGAATTATTTTATATTTTAAGATATAAATTTGCCATCATTTGCTAGGATTTTATGCAAACATCAGTATGCAAAGAGTTTAAGATTTGAAATTTATTCACTGCAAATATATGATTAATTAGTTTTAGGTCCTATCCGATGAAATTATATTCTTCACAGTAAGCAATATATAAACTTCATCGTATAGTGCAGGAAAGAAAGTAGAGATCTTGTTAAATTTGAATATTTATTCTCACTCAATTAGAGATTATTTCATGTCAGTACTTTGTTTTAGTATTTGCCTGACAATAAAACAAGTAAGGCTAGAACTGCAATAAAAATGAAAAAGCGCAAAGATTTTCTCAGCATAGAAATAAATGACTGCTTAGGAAAGATTCAAATTTGTAACAGTACTAGAAATAAGAAGGCATTTTATAATACTGTAATATTATCAGAAAGTTTCTGTAATTACAAAGTTGTCAAAATTTACTTATACATTAGTCTGATAAATTGTAATATGAGCTATGTACAAGAATTCCTTAAATGGGATAAAGGAAATTGAATTTTGACAAAAAAAACTATTTCAAGCATACAAACTTTTCTGTAGAGCAGTTAACTTTGATGGGAGACTAATAATAAATAATATGTCGTAGTGGAAGTTTTTTTAAAAAATTGCATTTCAAATGCATAATCATTCCTTTTCATTGTGGCAACCTTGGAAATCATATTTTTTTGAAACAGCTTGAGCACTTCTTAAAAGCATTTTCTGTTTGCTAAATATTCTTACTTGAAACTTCAGCAACCAAATTCTTGAGGTAACGACAAAAGTCAGCATTATATCTATTATCTTTGTATTTTATGAAGATACATTTGATTATCTTTATCGCTTGCGACTATTTGTAATAATTACCATCCCATTACATTTACTTTCAGTATTCTGATTTTTAGTCTGTTGCAAACAACGAATTGTAGAAATCATTCGAAAAGATCAAACCGATTGGGGAATGGTACTCACGCGATATACTAGAACCAATGTAACCGTTCGCTTCGCTCTCTACGCTAGCGTGTTTTATGTTCTTACAACATACACAAATGCCTATATTCTGAATGATAATGATAATACTATCGAAGCCGTTAGTTTACCACTATTATTTGAGCTTTTTTTTAAGAAATAAGTTGCAGAAATAAGCTAGCAAACAGAAAGAAAAAAGGTTTGGCTCTTCTCCTTATCGGTTGACCTATCTGTTCTCATTTTAATTAAACTAGATACGATCATCTTTCATACCATTATTATTCGATAAATTAATTTATTCGATGGCATTATTAGACATTAAAGCGCTGCTGCTCATTTTTATCAACTATTTCTTTTTACAGATAAATAGATAAACTTTCTAACCCGTAGACACCAGGTCAGTTAAACATGACACTTAAGAAAGGGAACTAAAGATCGAAAAATTGAAGCTTAATTTTTACTAAATCATCTGTAGCACATATTAGCTTCACTAATATAGTTTAAATACAACATCGGTGCAAGTTCAGAAATACCGTAAACTTTCGTTGACAGTTTTGCACATTATTTGTCATTATTACTTATAGGCTCAATTTTAGAACCATGAAAATGTTAAGGATTCATATCGAGAATTTCTCTGGTCAAGGCCACAGTTTGGATATGAACGAGGAGCACGAGCGCATGGTAAACCAACTTTCATCCGTTTTGGTAAACGAGATTCTATCGATCACAATGCCAACTTCATTATGTGAATGAAGGAACCGTTGAAAATTTTATTTGAAAGGATCTCATTAAATAACTTAATTATGTGCAGACTTTATTGGTAGCTATAAAACTGTGCTTGCATCCTTAAAAATTCCATGAACGGGGAAGAGAAAGCTTTATATGCAAACGTAGTAGCAAAATTAACGACCGAAACGACGTCCATTATGATTCCATAATCATTTGTTAAAGCAACATCATACAAAAGTATTTAAAATGTTTTTATCAACAAACTCATAACGTTCACAGACACCAGGTGTATACGACTTCCTACGACACTATATTAAAATCAGAAAAACCAATTAATAGTTTAAACGAACGCCAACTAGAAAACACTATGAAAAGGAACACGTAATCTCCAGAACCTGTAATAATTAGGATATAAAATTTATACCTAAATATATTCAGAAGCAATGCTGAATCATAGATGCAATCAGACAGAACTTTTAATCTTTCCGAGCATAAAAAGTTAATCCCGAAAAAAGTCTTGCACAAACGCTTAGCTAGCAACCGCACAGGTAATTCAGATGAGTTAATAGAAAAGCAAATTAATATTAAGTTGTTTAAACTCTAATAGCGAAATTATTTCATTATTTTATATCCACATGGATCATTAAGACTTGATATTAAGATTTATATCAGAGATTTTTCGTCACCCCTTTTATTTCTTCAAAGACCTTTAATACCGCTCTGAACTTCATAAAGCTGAGCAGCTGACTTTTGAAGCTGTTTCGTCTGAAATTAAAATACGTGTTACTTCACAATAATAAAAATCTTCATGCTGCTTTGACCTATTAATAATAAAAATCTTTCATTTTAAAGTTACAAAATGATAAAGAAAGTCTTGACAAAGATGAAAACTAATTTGATTTAAGCTTAAATTAATAGGCCAAAGCAGTTTAAATTTAGGCAATCATAAAAAATGGTAGAAAAAACTGATACTGAATATTCTTGACGGAAATTTTAATCAGTGATAAACTAGTATAATCTAAGATTGAATCGATAATCTTTATGTAACTGAAATAAGAACTATGCAAAACTGCTCTAGCTGACAGTATTATTTATAGTTGGACATAATTAACAAACTACTAATGGGAATTACATACCTCGCTTTCACTCAGTGTCTGCTTGACAATATGAGTAACCCCGTTCTCACCTAGAACTACTGGGAGCGAAAGATAAACGTCGTTCTCAATGCCATGAAGTCCCTAAAATCAATACTCATTTTGCGATTACTCCTTGCCGTCTGTATATGAAACATTTCACCGTATAAATTTAACTGATATCCTTCAGGCATTAAAAAAAAATCTCAGATTTCTGGTAAAAGTGTTAACCAAAGAAAGCCTAGAATAAATTTACCTTAACATTGACCGAAAGCGCACAAATAGAACGTGTGTTCCGTAAAGCAATTGTTGCGATGGAACCAGTGGACATCCCTATAGCCCACGAGGTGTAACCTTTCAGCTTGATGATTTCATAAGCACTGTAATTTCAGTTAAAACAATTGGAAAACTCAGAAAATAACCACAAACGAAAGTTCTGTAAGAGTTTCAAAATATACGCTGAAACGACGCCTTTATGAACTTCATCCTGCCACTTATCTGAATCGGCTTGTTTCCCAATATCAGGCTTTACATTACGCAATGCGACACCAGCCACGTTGACGCCAGACCAAACTGGGACTGAAATCGATGAAAATCATCAACAAAGAATTTTCTTAATTAACGCGAAAAAATCACTCAATATACCCGACACTTTTTAAATAACTCAGTATACTTACCACTTGTATCACCATGCTCACCGATTATCCATCCATGGCAGCTAGTTGGAGCGATTTCGAGTTTTTCTGAGAGTAAGAATCGGAAACGAGCTGAGTCAAGATTTGTTCCGCTGCCGAAAACACGATGGGGTGGTAGTCCCGAAATTTTCCATGCAACATAAGTAAGGACATCCACTGAAACATCCAAACTTAAAAAAACTTACAAAATGAGCATGAATGAACATTTTAGTTTTAAAATTATAAAACCTGGATTTGAAACTATCAACAACATTGTATCCGGAGAATTCGTTACAAGGTTCGGAATGATGTTCTTAAAAATTTCCACATTACGTTGCACTAACGAGAGACGACTTTCGCCTTCTCGTTGACGCACACCAGCGGTAACAACGCATAGTTTCGAGCCTTTCGTGATGGCATAATCTGTCAAAGTAATTACAGTAAAAAAACTGCAGCGATCACAAGTAAGAGACATACATATCTGTCGTGCAAATTGCATGAAAAGTAACCTGTTGAGGCACGAATGGTGCAAGGATGCATGAATGGAACACCATGTTGCAAATCCATCATCTCTCCTTTCAATTTGTCCGCCACCACGTCTACCAAGCACAATTCGCTGGCGATGTTCTGTAAATTTTCTCACTATTCCAAAGATAAGAAAAAAATTATGAATTCAAAATAATTTTGACACATAATCATGCAACTGCTCAATTTACCTCTTACACACATACGAAAAATATTGAACTGCAAGAAGAAAAGAGAATTTTAACATGGAAGAGATTTTATTAGGCAATACGTTCTTCCACTGCTCTAATTTAGTCTCACAACTTTCTCAACTTCTTTTCAACTAATGTGCAACTTTATGTAAATGCTAAGAAAATAGATTGATAACAATGGAAAGCAAGTGTTTTTAACCAGATGAGAGGTTTCAATGAGAACAGCATTACAAATCTTTGTTTATCTTTTTCGCATTAAACTACTGAATAAAACAGATTAACTTGACGGTAATTTTCCATTGAAATTGTGAAACAAAATTGATTCAATGATTTTGGAGAAAATTACTGAACAGAATTTTTGTTAATGTCCGCTCTCGTTAAATTTTGATATTTTTCAAAACAATCACAGATGAATAGACCATCTAGAAGTATGGAGTGAGTAATAAATAGGAGTGTAAATGAATATCTAAGCTTCAAATAAATGTCACTTCAATATCAAATTAATACAATGCTTCTAGTTAAACGACTTCAGAAAATAACATGTATTTCATATGAAACTTTATAAACGATCAGTTGATTACATAGCCTGATGTCTTTCGGGAGAAAATTAGAAATTATCAAATTAGATTCTCCAGTAACAATAAAAAATAACCTTTTGCATGATGCTAACAGCACAAGCCATTCCGACCTGGCCAACACCAACCACTGTAACTTTTGCATGCGGAGTCCGATGTGCTGGAGCAATCTCCTTGAAGAGTGCTTCAGCTGTTTCGCTCATTCTGAAATAGTTTCAACTATTAAACAACTAGATGAAACAATATCGAGAGCAGACAAATGTACAATTTATTACTTTCTCACAATTCAATTAACAGGCAGAAAATTTTAGTTGTAATATAAATGTTATGAGTAAATTATCATTCTATGAAATGTCAAACTGCACAAGAACCAGTATAATAATACAATTTACTTAACATTTTTTATTCTGAAGTGCGAAATGAATATTGATCAAATATTGATGATAACTAAAGGCTAGAAATGAACTAAAGTTAGCTTAAATATGAAGTATGTTTAACTTGAATACGAATTATAATTTATAGACTACTTTGTACAGAGAAAATATAATGCGGTGTTTGTAAGTAAATGAAACATTTTCCAGTAAAGAGGGATGGAAAAATAGAAAATCACTGGAGAAAAATGAAAAGTGGTTTGACGAAACCTAGGAGGATTTAAATAGCCTAGACTCTGTATTGCCAGGTCATCGATTCGACACCTTTTTATCGAGCCAGTATAGCTAGCCAAGTTTTTTTCTGCTTAGCTCTTAGTACATATGGAAAATTTTTTGCTCTTTAGCTTGTTCATCTCAACGAAAGTATGCACACATTCCACTAATTCACAACGATACTCTGCGAATAACAATAATTCGTTATTCGCAGAGTATGAATTCAGTCTGCATGATCAGCCCACCACCAATCTTTTCAGCTTACTCTCTTCTCTCACTTGTCCTACTCTTTGTAAAAACATTAATTCTAAAAAAATTTAGAAAAAGAATAAAATCAATTGGACATCTGACACAGAAATTAACTTCACGAGCAATTATCTTAGTGCATCCCACATATGTAAAGCTTTACGAAAGTCAAGCAAGTATTTCCGAATCTGTAGGCAATTTTGCTAGAATGTGAAAACACTTGTGATTAACTTCGAGACCCGAACCGGAATAAAACCTTAACCATGGAAGTCGAGTTAAGATGAAAGAGTATGTCCGTGACAAGCTTTGCCCACCTCTTTCCCAACTTATTCTGATTTTCGCGACTACTCACTGCATATCGATAGGAGGAAATACTTTTAGACTTGACAAAATCTAAACTAGATGATAAATCTAATCATCGGATATCTCCAACATCACCTTTGATTATAGTCATCGACCACTTTTTAATGTGGCTTTCTAATTCAAAATTTAAGAGAGAATTATCTCTTTTCAACAAATTTTGATACTCTTCTGCTTAATGATCGTAATTTGTGCGAATTTATTAAGTGTTATAACAACTTTGAAATCAAATTATCATTATTTCAAAGACAACATAATTTTCTACAGCATTTATCAAATCATTTTATGTTATTACTGTCCTATATCCATCTATAAAAAAGTCAAACTTCATGATTCTAAACTTTGATTCACAGATTTCGAACATGAGATTGAATATTTTAATGTAGTACACAAAAGAGAAAATCAGAAACTGCTAAATAATAAGCTCGAAATAATTATTTCTTAGCTCAACGAATAATTATTCACCCGTCAAATTGTATATCAGAGCGAAAGTTAAACAAAAGAGCAGGTCAACATGTGCATATGGAAAAAGAACACTTACGCATTAACGCTGAATTCCTCGATGACACCTGATGCGGCTGTCAGAAGGTCAACATCCATACTTCTGATTTTACGCGTTTGATCACTACGAAGAAAAGATGAACGCACACACACGTAAATGTTTTATGAGTCAAGAAACTGTGAATTCGCAAACGTAGAAAGGTGATGATAAACAGGTGAGACAGATGAGATCTATTTGCGTCTTTATTTTTTATTCACTTATTCACATATGTATGGGGCAATGGAAGCTGAATTGCAGAGCGATTACGTGGGAGATTGAAAAACGATCAATAATCATGTTTACGGTCTTGTGGTCCAAGTTATTGCGAACTGACTGAGTGAAGCTAAGCTGGCAGAGGAGGCGGAAAAAAGAGCACCACAACAGCCAACGATACCATTCAACTTCTTTTCGTATTCAAGCAATATGATATACGTTAAGTGACGTCATGCATAGACCTTGTTTATTATTTACATATCACGTGGTAGGCATAATGTTATTTGGTCACGTGACTTCTATAAGCTGCAGACAAAACATCAGTCATTAATATAGACGGCAAGAAATGAGTTGGTTAGTGCCAGATGAGTTTCGATAGGAGGATGTTATACTGAGAAAGATCAGAATGTTGCTTTCTGGCAATTATGGTGGCATCTAACACTCGTTAAGGGTGAAGGTAAGCATTAATATTTTTATTACTACTCTTATTAAATCCTGAGTTATAGTAACTTTCATCAGTCTAAACAATCTCAGTCTAGTAGCATAGTAAATAAAGATACAGCACTCCAAACTCATGAATGTCTGGTTTTTCCAGCTGCTTAAAGAAGCACAATACTGGTAAAGAGATACTCTAGTCATGGAACAACAGATATACGTATCTAAATATATCATAATTCTCAGTGTGAAATTCATAATTATGTTTTTAAAAATTTTGTATTACTGCGTGCCAACTAAGAGTGAAACAAGAACTATGGGCATCCTACATTTCTGTTATGTGTATAAATAGCACAATCAACAATTTGACACCACTTGGATTTAGGCAAAACCTGAGAGTTCAGAAGCTGAATACATGTTCAGGAACGTGCCTAATAAATTCTGACTTGTCTAAAATTTTTTCAAGTTCAGGTGCTGAAAAATGGAGTAAATGCATCCAGATTATTACAGACGTAAATATTCGTGGTGATTGAAACTGGATTAAACTTATCTGCGAAAGTTATAGCCTCGTTGTATATTAGGTGGAAATAACAGATTGCCGAATGTTTTGACATAACAAAAACTTCGCAAAACATGCAACCGAAAATAGCTGAAAAGTTGCTTCGGTAGTTCTTAATAACTCTGCGATGAGCATAGTTTTCAAGCCAAAGACGAATGAAGATTATTTTGTCATTTCTGAGGCAATCATCGAACTAAATTCGATTTCATGTGCGCAGTTAATCAAAACTGACTAAGAGTAAAACTCCACGATTTTAATTCATACAAGACGTGAATTCATTTCATTCTCTCCATAATTTTACGTTTAAGTGCTATACGAAAAAAAAATCCAAAAAATGAATTTTACTTCCTGAATAACAATTGGATTTTAATCGTGAGAGCGCACAAAAATCGCTGGATTGAATGAGCGGAATTCGAAAACAAAACTGTTGATAATGATGGATTTATTCATTTCATTCATATAATTTCCAATAAGTCATAGCAAGAAATATGAAAGAGCGATTTACACTCAAACACACAGTGGCTGTGTTACATAGTAAATCATTTTTTGATCATTAATGTGCAGTTTTTAAAGACATTTGTTTTCAGGCAGAATGAAGAGAGCAATTTGAGAGTTTTTCAAATTTCCATAGCTTTGATATTAGCCGCAGAATAATGAAAAATTGGATATGATGGGAAGAAAGGAATTTGATGAACATGAAGCTTATTTTACTCGATTCTGTCATTATGAAACACGTAGCCAACTCACTCACACCTATAAAAAGGGTAAAAAGCAAGCAATGAAATGGAAAGACAGAGGAAGACTTCTTGAACTAGTGACGTACTGACAATTACGAAAGTAGGACGAAATGTTGAAATATCACCAAGTGTTTGACAAGTGCTGGGGAAATGAGAATTTCCGTCATTGGAAAATGTGCTTCCAAAGAGTAAATTTAAGCACTAAAATTTAAATTGAGGTTTTAAGATACAAAAGGTCAAAGGTCAAGAATGCATGTTTGCTGAAACTGCCTTCCTTTTTGTCCTTCCGTATTGAATATTTGATAAATCCATTTGCAAATGTTGTAACAAAGAAAACTTTTAAAAGCAACCATGCTCTAGATGGTGAGTATAGAATTAAGCATGTTTTAGCAAGTCAGTTTATATCATAGAAAACACCAAATGTTAGCCGAATATATAGGGAATTTTCATCTTTATTTCAGAACCTCCTTGAATATCGTTAAATTCTGTCTTTCATTTTAAATTTTCATAAGTGATCCATTTTTTTGTTTGCAGTTCTCATATTGCCTTTCTTCTAAACATTAAGTTGAAAAAAGGCACTGCAATAAACTGAATTACAACAGAGCTCTCTATCATTCTTTGCATTCTAGAATCTTTGTGAAATTTTCGATATGCCAAGAATGTTCCAAAATAATTCTCCAATGTGTGAAATGCGAAGTGCTTCAGAGAAATATATCTAATAGCATATAAAAGCTGAGGATCTTTAAAATGAAGTCAATGTTTTCAACTAAACTCCTACATCGAAATTTGTGCACTCTCGCGATTTTCCAAAACCGCACTCGTCGATATTATTACTGTTATCATTATAACTAGCATATAAATTTAAGGAGAGAATTTTCTGAATTGCATTTATTAAGCTTTTAAAGATGACATCTTAGCTTGAGATGAGGCACTAAGATTTTCATTAACTGCAGCAAAAAGTTTCGATGAGTCATGATGTGCAGGATATTGGTAATTATGAAAGTCAACTTACGCCATGTTTATTCGATTTTCACTATATTTGATTCCGTATAATCAAATGTAACTGAAAAATACTTAAGAAAAAATAATAATGTGATGATAAGGAAACTAAGGTACAAAATATAATATTGTCATCTTTGAGAAATCATCTCGAACTTATTCGGGTACAAGTCCCGGGTGTCATGGATTATTAGTTTCTAGTGCAATTTATGCCAACATCTGCATGGTGCCTTTAAATGCTTTGCGCAGAACCAGTGACCAGTCACTTTCATTTCCTATCACAAACACTAATCACGAGCCAATCTTAGAGTTTTTGAATGAATTAAGTGATATTATGAAAAGTATCAGGACTTCCTCTGCACCAATAAATTTATTTAACAACCATAAATCGGTTATTTTTACTAATATTCCACAGGCTTTAACTAGAAGCAGCTGGTCAACTTCAACCATCTATTCATACAAAATCGACAATACCCATCCATTTATTTACCCAACACTACCACTAGTTCCTAAGCCAAAACTGGAACTTCTGCGGCAGATCGCTGCCGCTACCGATACCCATATACAAATCCCATAAAAAATTGAGCAGTGAGCAAGCGTCAAGAACCAACCTACCGAAGCAACCTGTGCGTGCGTAATATGATGAAGTGATTGAGTCTGGCTGTTTATAAAGAATACTTCTTTGGTATGCTAATTTATCCACTTACAGGCAAATTCTGTTGTTAGCATTTGATTCCTTCGCAGTTTTTTAAAATGACTTTTTAAATTTTCATGTTTAAATTCACTATAACTGTTTCTGCTGTTTAGTTCCAAATTACTGTAAATCTGCATCACTTTATCTTTAAGTCGAGAAGCATCGAATTTTTGAAAATTACTGCTTGTAACAAACTTTCCTGAGATTATCACTCCACCAAGAACAAAAAGCAGTTTTTGGTGACAGTATATAAAAATATGTAAAATTTGATCATTACCGTATTCCACTTCACACATGAATAAATACTACAAATGAAATTATGGATTTTGAAATGCAGTATCTTTCCATCCATTCAAAAAATTTGTCTGTATGCTAAGTCAAAGATCAAACCAAATCAATTGTTTGTTAACAGCTTTGAGCAAGAAATCGAATAATGAAAGGCAGCAAAGAAAGAAATTAAATTTACAGCATAAATGTAAAATTTAACGGAAGTGATGACCTTCGATCTGTGCTCCAAGTTATGTGCACATATAATGCAATATAAATTACCCATCACTCTGTATGTATCTGCAGGTCTCGTCATCAATCAATATGTAGTGTGTGATGGCAAACAAGATGAAATTTACGCTCCTTATATTTCATGTCAAAAAGTACTAAGAAATGAAACGAAATGACATACGTTACCAACCAGAATATCAGCAATATTGCCGGTAGTCTTTTAAAACCATATTTGTCTAAGTTTTAAGTTTAGCAGATGAATTCCTGTATTCTTACAACCTAAAATTCAGAACTGAAGTGAACTAAAACAAACTAACACCCACTTCTCAGCAATAGCTGTCAAGTCAAAATCCTGAATTTTTGAATTGCTCTCAAGAAATAATGCACACGGAAACCACGTTTAAAAATTAGATTAAAAATTCATACAAATATATTCCTTTAGTCTGTCAAGGTCTGTAGGTATTTCACGGCATGTAGACAAAACTCCACGTGGTTAGACTTATTATGGACGTTGAACCGTTTGCTTATTTTCGAGCGAAGGGTGTGTGCTCATTGTTACATCTCACAGTAAAGTTCTTTATGTGTCAGTATTGTATAATAATTATATTTGAACTGTTGCTGATATTTAAAGAAGTTGCAAGAATATATCTTCTTAAAAAGATGAAACAAATTGGTTTTACTTATTTGCGTCATTTATGCAAACTTCTATCACCCCTTATTGTGTGATTTCAGTTTTTGCATTATATCTCCGTATTAGGTTAGATGTCGTTGTTACTTTATGTATATTTCTAAGATTTTTGTTTGCAGGAGATGGCTTCAACGCTGACCGTAAAGGTCCACCCGGTTGTGTACTTGACTATTGTTGATGCGTTCGAACGTCGCTCAAACAAACCAGGTGCCAATGATAAAGCTTTAGGTACACTGATGGGATTTTATGAAAAGAATGCCATCCAGGTAGTCATGTCGTTCTTATCTTTTATATTTGTATTAATTTTATATGAACATTAACCAAAAAGTTGAAACTGCACATTTATTGTACAATCTGTACCATATACCGGTATGTCCCTTGAATATAAGTTTTTATAACTTCTTATATTCGATTAACTCGTATTGGAGTTTCAGGTTACAAATTGCTATGCAATTCCATTCAGAGAACAAAAGGAAGATACACCAGAATTAGACGATGGTTTCAATCAAACAATGTTGATGATGATGAGGAGAGCTACTCCTTCTGAACAACCTGTTGGATGGTAATTCAGTTTTGAAAAAATCAGCATTTTTATGAGAGGGAGTTCATGAATCTGATTTATTTGATATCTTTCATGTTTCAACTGCATTGTCAGCTGACTGAGTGATAAATTTATCTTGGAGGTTCTATGCGCTTATCAATTATAGCAAAAAAAAGGGCTGTTTCATATACTGTTTGGTTCATGTGAGTAAGAGTGCTTTGGTAGTTGCTTGTTTACTTATTTTAATGAATAAATCTAAACAAGCAAACACTATTTTCCGGATAGACCAAATTTAATGTCATACTTTTTGCATGAAAATTTTAAGGTATTCAATTTCTGCAGGTTTTACACCAATGCCGATTTGTCTATTCACTGTTTACCATACCATGACTATTACAATCGTCTGATTAGTGAATCATCAGCTAAAAAAGATCCGCCACCAGTAATTTTGCTTACAGTTGACACTACGTTTAGTTCACCTGGTGAAAACTACCGCATGCCTGTGCGAGCGTACTTAAGGTATATTTTCTTTCCTGTCTTTTGATTAAATTATTGTAATTCGTAGTAAATTCCAAAATATTGGTAATGATCAATAGATTGCGGATGAAAAGATGAAATGTTATTTTGCAACTATTTAGTTTATAGAACCAAAGCTGGAATCCCTGGATCTCGTGATCCACACTGTGCCATATTCAATCCATTGAAAGTTGAATTCGACTCTTTTCCGGGTGAAAATGTTGCACTAAGTTTAGTGCAAGGAGGCACTGCATTTACCAATAAACAACGGGAGCTGATTTTGGAGACTGGTTTGGAGCAACTCGAAAAAACTACGGGTGAAATGGTGATTTGGTTGGAAAGGATTTTGGAATATGTGACAGAGGTAAGTGTTTCAGTTTACTTCATTTGTTGTTAATTTTTTATGATGAAATTTGTGAGAAAATATGATCACGTATATATGTCGTCTGTTACATCGTATATGTCCGTTTCACAGTGCAAAAAGTTTATTTCGTTCCAACTTTGCATACTTGACTATTCAAAAATTTCTTGATGTTTATTAATCTTTGAATATTTCATGGGATACTTTAAAATGGCATATAAAATCAAACGTTTAGTTTTTTTCGACTTTCATATCTACCATTGTTAGCTTTTTCAAGACTGCTGTTGTATTCATGCAAGAATTTGTATTGTTGCGGAATTATGATTCAATAACTCGGGGTGGTTATTTAGGTACTTGCAAAGCCAGAATTACCTGCTGATTCATCATTGGGACGGCGAATGATGGATATTGTTAATACTGCTACAATTCACATGTCAGACGAAAAATTGGATTTATTAATTAAAACCAATCTAAGGGTAAAGTTTTTTAATTTATTTCCTGAAAGGGGTTTTTAAAAATTTTGTTTGTTTTTTAGTTGTTTTTTGATATAATATAAACTGAAAAAGATATTTAACATAAGAAACAGTTTGTAAATATTGTTAGTTTGTGTATCGCGCTGTATTTTCATTGCTTGCAGGATTACATGATGATTTCATATTTGGCAAGCTTAACAAAGACACAACTTTCACTGCAGGAGCGTCTAGTAGCAATTTAAATGTTTGATTTTATTTGTTCTTAAAAGTAGCTTTGAACTCAATGTGAAGTGAATCTTATATTTTATATCAGTTTGAGGCTACAAAGCTGCATTCAATCATCAAAGATTTTATGAGAATTTGTACATTTTCATAGGAATGTTTTTGTAAGCATGTATGTTTTAAAAGTATAAAGTAAAAGCATTTTATTTATTTTGTTGTAATTTTTCTATGTTTTTACTTTCGAATCTTAATAATAATAATAATAATAATAATAATAATAATAATAATAATAATATAAATAATAATAATAATAATAATAATAATAATAATAATAATAATAATAAACTAAGGTGGTTAAAACTTGTTTTTCAGAAGAAAGGATTTTTTTTTCGCACGTTATCATTGTTCTGTCTTGTACTTTTTAAATAAATCAGTTCAATAAAGATTTTGATTGTTTGGTTTCTCAGTATATTTAGGTATGTTTTATAACCGTTTTTTACTTGTATACATTGTATGGTTGCATATGATTAATACATGATATTAAAATTTTTGGTTCGACCAAGACGTTTGCTGTCAAATAAAAAGATCTGGCGATGACAAATTTTAAATTAGGCTGAACTTTTTTATCTTGGTTAATGACATCTTTAGCATGAGCATTGCAACATGAATGCAATGCTAAAAAAAAATACGAGATGGAAGGTAACACTGTTTCATTTCTAAATAATGAGTGTTTCATCCCTTGCGCAAATGTGGAGAATAAAATTTTGTTAGGAGGTACTGGGAAGTATAACTTCATTTCTTGCAGTTTGTTATGGCGTCATTTTATGCTGGTATATTTTTTATGCAAAGAGGGTATACAAGCAGTATGTTGGCGTCCGAAAGTGACTTTGGGTGCTTTGCAGTCGTTCTGGTCGATGGGTTCGTTGGTGTTTTTAAGAAGGGATAAGTTGTACAACATGTTACTTTTTAATTTTTAGTTATGGTATCAGGACCGCAGTGTCGTCACTTTTGGAGATGATCGATCCGAAGGACAATGATTGGAGGGAAAATGTATTCGATTCATTGTTTCCGAGAAGGCATTTGTCGGGTTTCTTTTCGTTTTCTGCATAAGTAAATTTCTGATCTCGCTGTAATTCTCACTTTAACAAATCCCAAGCAGTGACGGCAGTTACATAGATTTATTCACTGTTCATTTAATGTTTGGTGATCATAAATTTTTTGGTGATTAAGAATAAAATTATTGAAAAATTAGACTGCTGCCTGACATTTTTCTGTTTTCAGTATCCATTTTTATGAACTTATTGTTTTTTGTAAAGTCTCACGCTTTGTTCAACATTTATACCAGTATTTAGAAAAAAAAAACTATGTAAGTTTCTACTAATTTTCCTGTGTGAGAGGAGAAAAATGTAATCAGCTGAACATTTCAGTTCACTTTTTGTCACTTAATTGTTTTTAGATACCCCTCTTGAAAGCAGTTGGAGTACTGAGTTTATAATTGCCAATCCATTTGAGATATTACATGAAAAATTGAGTTGTGCCGCGTGTTTTGCTTTAGTTGATTTGATTGCTTCTGTACTCAGGCTGGATTTTTGTGAAGATAACGACAATTTGAGTGATATGTAAGAGTTTTAATAATTGCATTATTATGAAGTCATTTTGTAGTTTTATTTTTGAAGTTAGGGAAAATACAATCTGTGGCAAACTGATAATTTTAATTTCTCTTCAATCTTGATATGAGTGTTGGCATTAATTTATCAGTATTCGATCAATTCACTTGAATTTACTGTTTTCAGCGGAAAAGATTGTATTGATGTAAATTTTTTTTGTAGAAAATTTTGGTCTTTTTATTTGAATAAATATTGATTAATCGAATTTCAGGGAATTTTGTTCTACGGCGTTAGAAAAAGTCTTGAAATATGCAGCATTACCGGAACGAACAAATGCAACCGTTCGCCATCATCTCATAGTTGTTATTTTAGATTTGTTAACTTTTTTAGCTCCTGTTGCTAATTAAGATGTTTTTCATCATAGTTTCCAAAATGCTTTTTTTGGGAAAATTTACCAATATCAGTTTTAAGGGCGAAGGTGCGACAGATGATATTGCAACATTCGTTACTCTTGTGAAAAATGATCCATTTGTTTTACAAAAAGGAGTTTCGTGTATTCCAGCATGTCTCTTGTCCATTTTCATTGAATGTGGTTTGTTTATTTTCCACGTTTTCCACGCTATAAATAAAACTAGAAAAAAAATCTGTACTTCAGCATTAGAAGAAGTGTTTTTCTTGCTCTAGAGGTAGGATTTTATATAGCTTCCATTCACTGGTAAGAAAGTTGCTTTTTACTAATAAAATTAGCTCATGTTTCAACCATAAGATTTATTGAATCTGCTCTGTCGTCAATACAATTCAGCAAAGTGATAATTCGATAATATTTTAACTGCAGGCAGTTACGATTGTCGTTACCGTGTTTTGCTACACCATGTCTGCTCTCTTTTGGCCTTTCGGTGGGACGAATTTGAAAATGTTTGTTTAATCGTTCGTTGCAGCTTTTTGGCTTAGTTGTTTTGTTTTAAACTTATAAAAAATTTCAAGTCATTTGCAACAGATTGCATTTAGTAAAATCAAATAATAATGCGTTACAGATGGAAGATACACTGGTTGATACAATAACTAGACAACGATACAGTGAGAGCGAGTAAGCACATTTAAAAATAAAAGTTTAGTTATTTATTTTTTCAATACTTGTTTAAGAAAATTGTTCTTATTTCTTCAAGCATTGGTGTATTATTTTTCATTCAAAGGGTTTAGCAATCTCCATATTAAAAAGTTAAGTTTTTTTTTTTGACTCTTTAAATCATGTTTATTGTTGCCTTCTCTTTCCAAGATAGATAGTGTGTATTGTCAAAGAGTGTTCAGTTGTCATTGTTTGAAATTATATTCCTGCAATCATCTGCCGTATATTGATTTGATACTTTTCAGTGACATCCGTTTGAGAAATTATATTTTTTATTTTTTTTGTCGTGTTTTAAGTATCCTTCTTCAATTACTCTTCGGCACATCTATGTTTTCCCCTTGCTGATTTTTCATTACACTTGCTTTGTTAGTACAGTTCAGCAAAAATGGTGATTCGAAAATCTTTTTTGTTTGGTTACGTAATTCAGTCACTGTTTTCGATTATTTTTGTATCATTAATTTTTAGCGAAACTTGATTTTAACTTGTTTAGTAGCTAAAATGTAGAAATATTGACTATTATTTTGCATGACAAACTAATGTTTTTCGGAATATTTGAATTCCGTGATCAGTCTTGTATTTCAGCGAACAAAAAGTGGCTAGAGCTCGAGCCATTAAACTGAAAAGATTAAAACGTTTTGCTATGATTGGAGCAGCGAGCAGTGTTGGTGGTGTTCTAATTGGTATTTTTTTTTGTTTATTCAGAAATGTGAAAATCTTGCAGGTGAAAAATCCTACTTCTATTTTTTTATTTAAAATCTCGGGATTTCATATCTTAGGAGTTACGGGTGGTTTAGCAGCACCATTTGTTGCAACTGGTGCAGGAGTTGTAATTGGCTCGTGTGCAGCAGCAGGTATTGGGACAACAGCGGGAGTAGCTGTTCTTGGATCATTATTTGGTGTAGCTGGTGCAGGGTTAACAGGTAAAAGAGTTTGATTTTCGGAATAAAGCGTTGTTATTAATTGTATTCCATTTCTATATTTCAGTGTATTTAATATGTGAACTTTTCCATAGCTTTTATTTCACTAAGTCATTGTTAACTTGAAGATTATTTCTTCTCTTAAAAACATTTTCCTTACAGTGGTTCTTCAAAGACTTCTGAAATTGGATTGAATATTTTTGAATAATAGAATAGAGGGTTTTTAATCTCTTTAATGATTCTAATTTCACACTTGTATATTGAAATTTGTGATACATCAGTAAAAATGCTTTTACTTTTTTAACTTTCTGCAGGTTATAAAATGAAAAAACGAATAGGTGCAGTCGAAGAATTCGTTATCCAACCAATAAGTGAAGGACAAAGTTTACATTGCGTTTTAGCAATTAGTGGATGGATTAATGATGTGAATTGATTTCTTTTGTATTGAAGTTTTCAGTAACATACTCCATCAAGATAGCATTTTAAAAGCTTGGTAGAAACATTATGATGTCTTTAATTTTATAAATAACTAAGCCTGGATAATCTCTATTTTTGAAAAATTTTCGGTTATTTTATCACTTATTTCTAACGCAATTTCAAGAAAATTTTATTATCAGGTTTTATTCATTCTCAGATCTGGTTTTAGCAAGGAGTAGATGCATTTCATCAGCAGTGGAGACATTTATGGTTGTCTCGTGAGCAGTATATTTTACGTTATGAGAGTAAATATTTGGCACAGTTAGGACAAGCAATTGATTATTTGATGTCTTTTGCAGTATCAGTTGCAGTTCAGCACACTCTTTTAGAAACTTCACTTGCTGGTATTTTCATTTTTTAGCCATGTTCTTTATAATGGTAACACAAATTCTTATTTTGATTCACGAAATTTGCATTTTATTTTTGTAGATAAGGTACAGGATATTTTAGGCTTAGTTTCTGCTGTTGCTTGGCCAGTGGCTCTTTTATCAGCATCTAGTGTAATCGACAACCCATGGAATGTTTGCATAAGGCGGGCAAAAGAGGTGAAATTCTTCTAATTTCTATCAGCATTACGTTTAAAAAACAGAATTTTAAGAACCAAAAAACCAGAATGGTGTTTTAAAAGAAACAATATATTTTTTTGAGGTTGGTGAACATTTAGCTGAAGTTCTACTAAGTCGTGCGCATGGCAATCGTCCTATTACACTAATAGGATTTTCTCTTGGAGCACGTGTAATTTTCCATTGCTTGATGACTATGAGTGGAAGGTCTTCAAATTGTGGTATATATAAAAGTTTACCCTTCGGAAATTACATATTTTTAGAGTAATAAAGTTTCTTTGTATTTTTGGCTTCGTAAATAGTAAAATTTGCTACCGACATAACAAAATCGCGTCTTTATTTATTTATCACGTATTATTTTAGTATTTTCGTACGCTTACTATTTTTTGCTAGATCTATGTTAAGTAAGGTGATTAGAGATTTCAGGGATAATTAACGATGTCATACTTCTTGGAGCACCAGTATCGGCTTCACCAATACAATGGCACCAAATGAGTCAAGTAGTCGGTGGACGTGTTATAAATGGCTATTGTACCAGTGATTGGTTGCTAAGGTCTAGTTTCCAAAATTTTGTTAACTCATTTTTTGTTTCTTAGTAATGTTCCGTGCATAGCGGATATATTAACGAATTAAATCTGTTCAGTTTACATAATTAACTTGGTGAACAGTAAATATTTGTTACTAACATAGTGAAACATTTTGTTTTCTCAAAATTTTCAATCATTTTTCTAATGTTCTAGTTTTGGTTTTCAGATTTATCTATCGCACTATGAATGCCCAGTTTACTGTAGCTGGTACAGGTCCTGTAGAATGCAAGCAAGGAAAAAAAATTGCTAACTTCAATCTTTCACACATAGTCAATTTTTTGAATAATATAATTTTGTGATTGAATATTAATGGATCATTATACATGCATTAGATGATTTTAACTCTTTTTATTTAAGTTACTTAGTTATCCAGTCTACTTTCTCAGGTAAAAGGTCATCTCGATTATTCTTACAAACTAACTGAAGTATTGGCAGCAGTTGGTGTCAAAGTTACTCCTTATTGTGAAGAATCTAATATTAATATGGAGGAAAGCGTGCAAAATTCAAACGATGAAAGCACCAATATTAGCATTGAAAAAGAACGATTTCCGAACAACTTGAGTAGTATTCAGGAAACAAAGTCTGCATCGAATAAGACAGGTTATGCTGAAGCTGTCACTGATATTCCTGAAACTTTGTAAATAGTTGAAAATGATGGATGATAAAATGTGTAACAAGTAGTAAACAAAAAATGTGTTATTTACTAAGGTAGTTGAGAAAATCACCTACATGGAAATATATGTAAGTCGATAACAGGTAAAAATTGTAGTATATTCAAACTTGCTTAAAAATCTGTGTAGAGACTAAACAGGTACATTTTGAAATGATTGCATGGTTTCAGTGAAATCAGATTTAAATATATAGTTAAATTATAATTATATTTAAATTTTATTATATAATTATAATTAAATAATTATAATTTAGATATAAATATATAATTTAATTATATAATTATATTTAAATTTTATTATATATATA